GTGTGTGTTTTTAAGTATCTTACAGACGTAGAGGACTATTCTTCGTAGTCAGGTCATATATACAGTATGTCCTCTGTGTCTCTTTTTCCAACCTTTTTATGTGTAAACATTATTGCTAATAGTCATGAATAACTGACTAACAAACCTGATTTTTCTGTTGCATAACTTATCCCAGTTGAAACGATTGTTTACGTACAAACTCAACAGTCTGACTTGCTGTTATCGATCAAAATGAAAGGGGAAGTATGAAACCAGAAAGGTTTCCTGAACTGTATGTCTTTATTTGAACATTTTGGTAGCATTGTTGCATTAGTCTGGTCGGGATGTTCACACAAACAAAACAGTGTTTCTGATAGCATCAAAGAGCCACAGTATGACTTAGAGTTGACTGTAAACATTAACATGGAAGAAAGTATTTAACGATCCAAAAATGGCATTTCCTTTAATTAAAGCTATTTCTTTTCCTCAGAACCTCAACCAGAACCCAAGGACTCTCCTTCCCAAGTTCTACGGCCTGTACTGTGTTCAGTCTGGAGGAATTAACATTCGTCTCGTGGTTATGAACAATGTTCTGCCTCGGTCTTTAAAGATGCACTACAAATATGACCTGAAGGGCTCTACGTACAAGAGACGGGCGTCACGAAAAGAGCGGGAAAAGGCCTGCCCCACATATAAGGACCTAGACTTTGTGGACATGCACGATGGCTTGTACTTTGACACAGAGACATATAACGCCCTGATGAAGACGCTACAGCGGGACTGCCGGGTGAGTGCTACCCTATTTGTGTAAATTTTCAAACAAAAAATAAGTGGTGTCTGCACGTGCAAAAGTTGTGGGTGGTTTCCAGAGCACTGCTATGGTTGTAGCATGTTTGAAGTTTTGTGTCCAATAGAATATAAAGCAATTTGGAAGTAAAACAACAACAAAAGGCTTCTGATATGAATCACAGTGAATCATGAGGTGCAAAACAAATGTATTTTACATATTTGACTGAGTTTCTGTGACGACCAACCTTGATTTGATCAAACCTGATCTGGCCTGAGTGTCACCGAAGTGTTTTATTGCAAGGTATCTTGTGACAAATCATGCACTTAAAGGGTTTGTTCACCCAAAAATGAAAATTAGGCTGCGTTTTACTCACCCCCGAGGCATCCTAGGTGTATATGACTTTCTTCTTTCAGACGAATCCAGTCGGAGTTATATTAAAAATTGTCTTTGATCTTTCAAGCTCTATCATTGCAGTCAGCGGGTGTTGCATTGCTTCAGTCCAAAAGAAGTTAAATAAAAAGCGCCCATGCATAAAAAAAGTGTCTCACACGGCTCTGGGGGGTGAACAAAGGCCTCCTGTAGCGAATCTATGGGTTTTTGTAAGAAAAATATCCATATTCAAAACGTAATAATCACTTTAATCTAGGTCAGTGTTGCGCATGCGCCGGTGAGTCTCGTGAAATCCAACTTTTACTTACAGGATCAAAGGAAGCAAAGTTTAAATTAGCAAAGGAAAACCAGTCTCCTCTTGGCTTATATCGAAATCCTCTGACATTCGTCTTTACAAATCCTCGTTTTGTACTTCTAATTCTTGACCGTTGTTTTGTTTTGATCTCTCCGCTGCGTTTCCGCATGCATCACTTCTGAGCGGTGCATGCGCAAAGCTGACCTCATACATCATTCGCCCAGAACTGCTTCCATTTACAACAGTGAGCTCAGGCTAGATTCAAGTGATTATTACGTTTTGAATATGGATATTTTTCTTACAAAAACGCATTGACATACGTCATTCCCCTGGAACTGCTTCTGTTTACAACAGTGAGCGCAAGCTAGATTCAAGTGATTATTATGTTTTGAATATGAATATTTTTCTTACAAAAACGCATCGATTCGTTACAGGAGACCTTTGTTCACCCCCCGGAGCCGTGTGAGACTATTTTTATGGATGGGCGCTTTTTATTTAACATGTTTTGGACTGAAGCAATGCAACACCCGCTGAGTGCAACGATAGAGCTTGAAAGATCAAAAACAATTTTTTATATAACTCCGACTGGATTCGTCTGAAAGAAGAAAGTCATATACACCTAGGATGCCTCGGGGGTGAGTAAATCGCAGCCTTATTTTCATTTTTGGGTGAACTAACCCTTTAAGAGTATCATATGGCTCATGTTTCACTAGAATAAATGAAGTTCAAAAAACAGGGCCATCAAAAATTATGCATTATCGCACATTTCATTTTATACTTTACATTGCTAAAAATGAGGTGTTTGCAGAACAAACAATAACAGAGTCTGTCAAGTTGCTATTACTTGCTCATTTTAACATTTCTCTAAAAAGATTTACATGCAATTTTTCTCTTATTTCACAGTTATTTTAAATATTATGTACTCTATCTCATTAATATTTCAATAAGAATTGTACACTACTGTTCAAAAGTTTAATTTTATTTATTTATTTTAAGAAATTAACACTTCAGCATGGGCACATTAAATTGATCAAAAGTAACAGTAAAGACATTTGTTATGTTATAAAAATGTATATTTCAAAGAAATGTTCTTTTGAACTTTCTATTCACGAGGTGTTTGCAGAACAAACAATAACAGAGTCTGTCAAGTTGCTATTACTTGCTCATTTTAACATTTCTCTAAAAAGATTTACATGCAATTTTTCTCTTATTTCACAGTTATTTTAAATATTATGTACTCTATCTCATTAATATTTCAATAAGATTGTACACTACTGTTCAAAAGTTTAATTTTATTTATTTATTTTAAGAAATTAACACTTCAGCATGGGCACATTAAATTGATCAAAAGTAACAGTAAAGACATTTGTTATGTTATAAAAATGTATATTTCAAAGAAATGTTCTTTTGAACTTTCTATTCATCAAAAAATCCTGATGAATAGAAAATGTATCACAGTATATTAGAATGATTTCTGAATGATCATGTGACACTGAAGACTGGAGTAATGATGCTGAAATTTTTTTGATGAACTATTCCTAACTATTATATACAGAAAATAAATTAAAATAGAAAACAGTTCTTTTAAATTGTATTACTTTTTCCATAATATTACTGTTATTACTGTATTTTTGATCAAATACATGCAGCCTTGGTGAGCATAAGAGACTTCTTTCTAAAACATTAATAAATCTTACCAACCCTAAACTTTTGAACAGTGGTGTACATGGAGAGCTAATTGCCATTGTCTTAAACTGTTGACAACATCACAAAAACACTCATTATATGAACTCATGAGATAAAAACATGCACCTTAAAATGCCACAGATAGACCTCAAGACTCAGTACCTGAATCACAACAAGGGTAACAATCAGCTAAATAATCTATTTGAGGATCATTCTTACGTTACAAGACATTGCGTTACTAAACATGAGAAGAGAATCAACAGTATGAGTGTACTGTAAATGGAACTGGAGAAGGTCAAGTGATACAATTATATTAAGTATGAAAGAGAATTGAACAGAACCACAAAACCACCAGCTATGCTTGCTATTTTGAGTATAGCATAATAGAAAGGCTGCATTGAGATGTTTTTTGTATGCATCTGTTGTCATGTTTTGCGTTTTAAAACATAAAAGTGGCTTTCTAAAATGGCACTTAGATTTCCCAAGATTTAATATAAATCTCATGATAGAGTTCATGATAGTCTTCAGCTCCACAGTAGCTTATTAACAGATTCAAAATGTGCTGAGCAGCAAACCTCTCCGTTCAGCTGGGAAACAAACTGCATAAATCCAGTTTGGCATTCCTTTCTATTTCAGCAGATCAGGCTGTTGACATGGTCTGGTAAATGTTGTTTTTCACATGATTTTTTTTTTCTGACTAAATGACTTGTAAACAATTAGATGGTATTTTCCCTCCTGGACAATTTCCATAACTGCTTAAATATTAGGGCTTGGTTGGTAATGTATGCCCTACATTGACAGTATTTGACAACTATTGATGAGCACCATATGTTTGTTCTCCAAGGAAACTATAGGTGTTGTAGGTGGTTGTAATGGCAATGCTGTGTGGTTGTTAAGATGTTCTGAGTGGTTTTTAGGGCATTGCTAGGTAGTTGAAGAAACACCACTACTAAAATGAATGTACTGTAGATAGCATAGCTCAGAATTTTTTTGTTTTTATGAAATTGATACATTTATTCAGAAAAGGTCCATAAATTGATCAAAAGTGACAGTAAAGACATTTATGTTATGTAATGTTACAAAAGATCTCTATATCAAATAAATTCTGTTCTTTTAGAACTTTCTATTAATCAAAGAATCTTGAAAAAAAGCATAATGGTTTCCACAAAACTATTAAGCAGCACAACTGTTTTCAACATTGATGATAATAAGAAATGTTTCTTGAGCAGCAAATCAGCATATTAGAATGATTTCTGAAGGATCATGTGACACTGAAGACTGGAGTAATGATGCTGATTCAGCTTTGCTATCACTTAAATAAATTACATTTTAAATTAAATTACAAGAATATTTACCGTAATATTTTAAATTGTAATAATGTTTCACAAACAATATTACTATTTTTACTGTATTTTTGATCAAATAAAGGCAGCCTTGGTGTGCATGAGAGACTTATCTTACGGACCCCAAACTTTTGAACGGTAGCCTAATTTGGTCTTTTGTTTGAGTTCATACTGAAATCTTTGACATTTGATTGCCAAATCAAAGCACAATTTGGTACTTAAATGGACAGTTCCTCCAAAAATGAAAGTTCTGTCCTCATTTTACTTTTTTTCTCTGGAGCACATTAGAAATTATTTTGAAAAATGTGTTTTGTTTTGGACCCCGTTGACTTTCATTACATGGACACAAACAGTTGAAACATTTTTCAAAATATCTTCTTTTTTTTTTTTGTGGTCCACAGAACAGATAAAGAATGTAATACAGGTTAGAAAAAACACAAGGGTGAGTAAATTATGACAGAACTTAAATTTTTGGGTAAACCACCAAGTCTTCATTCACTTTTCATTTTTCTTATTCGCTCCTCACATTGCTGTCCAGGCAAAATAATTAATATTAAAATTATCACATTTTTCATTTTTGTTTCCTATTTGCGCCCTGCAGTGGTTTTCAAGGACAAATGCCACTTTGTAAGTTCCTCCAAAATCAAGCTGCAAGTAAACAGCCCAGTAACTGAATTACCCAAATGATTGTGGCATGATGTTGAAGTGTCCCAATGCTGCATTAGGTAACCGGCCCTCTGTGGTCGCCTTGTGCTTCTCGAATTCTTCAGCAGACTTGGCACTCGACCAAGCTTCTTCTTTCTTGCTGTTCATTTGTTTACCAACAAACAAGCTTCACAACGGTGCCATTGCGATGGCATTCTAGACACGACTTGTTGTTAAAAACAATTCGAGACAGAATGTTCCCTATATATAACAGTCTTAGAGTTTGTTTTTTTTGGCACCTTAAGTATACTGACTGGCCGGCCCCTGTGAGCGCTGAACAGCCGTAATGCGAGTCATAAAAATGAGAACTCGAGTTTCACACAATAATGACCATACTTGGGGACATTCGGCCCACTGTAGCCCTTCCTGCCATCTAACTTCAGGATTTGAGAAGAACCTAGTCTTTTATGGATTGAAATGGTTGATATGAAGTTCTTAAAACAGATTTTTTTTTCTATGTCAACCTTTTTTTTTAAGGACTTATTTTTGGCGTTTTTTTGCCTTTTATTGATAGGACAGTAGTGAGACAGGAAGCGAAGTGGTAGAGAGGGGGGGGATGGGATCGGGGGAAAGGTCCGCGAGCCGGACTCAAACACGGGACGCCCGAAGTGCAATGGTGCTACATGTCGACGCGCTGCCCACGAGGCTATCGGTGAAGACCTATGTCATCTTTTTTATGGAAGGAGGAATGTTCTTGATGTAAGGAAACACAAACTGCAGTCCAAACACATCCCCATGAGTCCTGTAAGGTTTTATAGTTAGCTTTTCCTTCAGGCTATGTCCTGTGCAGAAACTGAAATGAACACTAAGCAGAAAGTTTCTCCTGAGTAAGCAACACACCCTGGGCCTCAACTGCAGAGCACAACACAGCCAAATCTATAAAATGTAACTGATGATCCTACTAATAAAATGAAGTGCTTATAACTTATTTTGAAAAAGTTTAACTAAGTAATGACAACTTTTTAGCTCAGAAAGTTATTCAACTCAATAGATTGAAGTAACTAATAAGTAAGTATTTGGTGTAATGAAATGTGTTTATGCGGTTTAAGGTTCAAAAATCACATTATTTTCCACATACTGTACATTATTGTTTCTCCTCTATGCCACGCCTTTCTGAAACGCGTACATTTTTACAAAGCTTATCGGTCTGAAAAGCGAGGTGTGCTCTGATTGGCCAGCTATCCAGTGCGTTGTAATTGGCCGAATACCTCAAGCGTGTGATGGAAATGTTACGCCCCTACCATACTGTGATGCCCTGTCAGGCCGGAGCGACGAGACAAAAACATTAAAGCCCATTATAAACGAGGCATTTGTTGCATCCAGTGGAGACGTAATTACGGATTATAATGACTTATACTGTCTTTTTACGCGTTGCATTGCATCTGAATATTTGGGTTGAAGTGTTCTGGAACAGTATTGTAAATACAACTTAACCACTGATTTCTAGTCGTGTCCTCTTTTGGAAGACCAAACAAAACAAACACGGCGGGCTAGAGTGAGGAACAGCCGGCGGGCTAGAGTGAGAGGAGGCGGGCGGGCTTGAGAACGGCGCGGCCGACGGATTCGACGAAGGAGTGTCCGGTGGGCTTGCGAGGTATAATTCACCCAAAAATGTCAGTTGTCATCAATTGTTCGCCCTCATGTTTTTCCAAACCCATAAGACTTAGGTTAATTTTTGACATAAATTTAGATATTTTTAAACACACCAGAGGTTTCTGCCACTACATTTAAGATACATTTACTTGAGAAGCAAATCGACTCAAAATGTTAAGTCTTGTTTTCTTTAAAAAACAAAAATCCAAATGAAGTGAGTTTAAGCTTAAAACAAGACAAAATATTTCATTTAATTTTGATAAATTTTTCAGTAAACATGACTTAATATTTTAAGTCTTTTTGCTTCTCAACTATATGTATCGCAGTGTTAGTTCATTCAGGATTTAATTTACTGTTAGTTCATTCAGGATTTAATTTACTGTTAGGTCATTCAGGATTTAATTTTGAAGTGACTCTCTGAGCTTTTTGATCTTTTTTTGTTTCTCATTTAATTGCACTTTAATGCTTGCCATCAGATTTGGTGCATGACTCCCTGGATAAAACCACAGATATCTGTGGAAACTGACAGGTGCTGGCATTTTCGCTCCATCATTGCTGTTTTTTCTGTTATGTTACTGAAATTGTTTATTACGGTAATGTGCAATGCCGCAAAATAGAGGAGCTTAGAGCTCTGTTAGTGGGTGTGAAATTTTTATTAAAGTTAACTAAAACCATAAAAAACATACTTAATGTACTTAAACTTATTTTTGCCAAGGCAACATTTCTCATTTTCATTTAGTTTAACTTAATGTACTAAAATAATTCAAAATTAAATTAAATTAATAGACATTTGTATTTGTACGCCCTTAAACATGAACTTAGCAAACAAGAGTTTCGCAGAATGAGGGTTATCATCTTGACAAAGAGAAAAAACAGCAACGGTACAGTGGCCAAAGACAAGGTACATTCATCAGGAGGATTTTGGCAGTGGTCCTTGTCATATTGTGGTGAGTTAAATGTTGTGTTGTATATCATGCAGGTGCTGGAGAGTTTTAAGATCATGGACTACAGTCTGCTGTTGGGGGTGCACGTTCTGGACCAGAGTCACAGAGAAGGAGACGTCAACATTGTGGATGGGAAGAGGGCCGTGGGACAGAAAGTTCTTTACTCCACTGCCATGGAGTCTATTCAGGGAGACGGAAAGGCAGCCGAGGCTTTGACCACAGACGACACGTGAGTCCCTGACATTAAAACCCGTGTTTGTCCTGTTCGTGTACATTCAAAATGGGTGTGTTGCAAATAAAACATTTTTAGTGCGTGTTTTAGTAAAAAATGTTTTGCGTTTAGCCAGTGAATGTCACAAAAGAGCTGTTATATTTCACCCCAAAATCTAAAGAAAGAAATGTAAATGATATTTTACTGAAGAAAATGTTTATTTATATACATTATTATTTATAGATACTATTTATGTATTATGTGTCTTATTCTATATGTATTATAAAATTATTTATTATTAACTTTAGTATTTGTTAAGCTGCATTTAATTTATGATTTCATTTATAAACTGTCATATCCTAAATAAATTAAATATAAATTAAATTTAGTTAAAGAAAGTTTAATTTTATTAATATATTAATATTAATATATTTATTAAATTTATTAATTATTAATTTATTTATAAATTATAGATAATTTATATTTCAAACTATATATATATATATATATATATATGTGTGTGTGTGTGTGTGTGTGTGTGTGTAGTCATGTCTTTAAAAAATCATTGCATTTATTTAGAATAATAAGTAGTACAAATAAAAACATGAATATAAAATTGCTGCATTATAGCAATTAGAATTTGTCACAGTGCAAAAATTCTTATTGCCACTAAAAATAAGATTTATGTTTTTTTATGGATTATTTATTTATTTAGTGGTGAAATGGCTTGTCTTGACCTTAATATGTTTTTGTGAGATTTCCCAGCCACTAATAACCTAATATAATGTAAACACAATGTTTCTTTTTACACAGAATGGGAGGCATTCCTGCAAAAACACACAGGGATGAGAAACTACTCATTTTTCTAGGCATTATTGACATCTTGCAGTCTTACAGGTAAGCCTGGTGTCAGTTTACAACAAACCCAAGAGCCCAAATGCCATGTTACACACCAGCTTACAGCATATTCGCTCAATGCACCGTCTTTAAATGAACTCCCTCATCCCTGACGAGATCTCTCACTCTCATTTCCCACCAAGATTCATTAAGAAGCTGGAGCACTCCTGGAAGGCACTCGTCTATGATGGTGTAAGTCTATATATCTCTCTGCTCTCTTCGTTTATGAATAGACTATTCATATCACTGGGGGAATTAAAGACGCTTCCTGGTTTAATTGTCTTGTATTCTCTTTCTCCTAGGATACGGTGTCTGTGCACAGACCGAGTTTCTATGCAAACAGATTTCTCAAGTTCATGAGCTCCAGAGTATTCAGAAAGATTCAGCGTAAGTCAACAACACAAGCAAATTGATTCAGTATTACATAATCACAATGGGTTACATTTTGAATATTAAAGGTTATAGGTGCAACTTGCATCGGCAAAATTCGTTTTGAAGAAAACGTGATAACACTGCACAAACGTTTCTTATTTGTTGTCATTTGTTAACATTAATTAATGCATTAGTTAACATCAATTATGAACAATATATTTTTACAGCACTTTGTTGATGTGAAATACAGTTGTAAAAGTCTTGAAAACAATAATACAAATACAAATGTTCATTTCTTTGTTCATGTTCATAGTGCATTAATTAATTTGAACAGATACGACTTAAAAATGCATGAGTAAATATAGAAATTAAAAATATTGTTCATTGTTAATGTTAAATAATATAGTTAACTAATGTTAACAAATTAAACCTTATTGTTAATTGTTACTGATTATTTAATAATTAAGACATTGTTTAAGCCTCTAAATCTAATTGCATATATCTGTGGATATGAAAAAGAAGAATTATATCAAACTAAAAGAAAATATGTAAAGTCACTGCCACAGTACTAGGATGTTCTGGGTGGTTGCCAGGGTGTTGCTATGCAGTTGCTAGGTGGTTTCTTAGTTGTTTTCTATGATATTCTAACCTCTAGATTAAAAATGAGCAAGCAATTGAATTAGAATTAGAATTAATCTAGTTAATAGTTGGAAAAAGATCCTATTTCAAACTTCCTGTCAGTGACAATACATAAGAACAGAAGTTGCATCAATGTTCTTGCTCGACCGTCATTCTTTTTCAACTTCAGTTTCATTACTAAGAACATTTTGAAACAACATTACATCAGTGCACACAACAGCAGAACTTCTCCTTCCTCTTTCTACAGCTTTACATGAATCAGAAACTGTAATACACTCCATTAATCAGATTTTTATAAGACAAATTAAAATAGCAGAATGTAGATTTATTTTTATCCTTTCTAATAAAGTTAGACAGCAGACCAAGATTCAATTTCACGGTCTATTTGTCTGCTGCCAGGTAACAGCTAGGGGAGAGTTATATCATCATACTTTCAGTTCAATTAGGACAATGTCCATAGTTAATCTCTTTGTCGCACATCCAGCAAATCGTTTCTCCCCGAGCAAGAGGGCGCGGAACTCCATTTCAGCGCTCAAATGCTCTTCTCAAGAAGTGCTGTCCTCACAGAAGGAGGAGAAGGCCGAGGAGAGGACGGACAGACTTGGAGGAGCCCATAGTCTTGCCAGTCTGGATAGGCAAGGTGGGCGGCACTGACTATATGAAAACTGCTGATTTTAGGGCTAGAGGGCTTTTCACATGTGAAGAGACATTTTAAACTCTGGATTAACAATCATGGGCTATCATGTTTCATATTTTACTCTGGATTCGTTTAAATTTCAAGTTTTCACATTGTACATCTGTAAGCCCCGGGGTTAAAGCAATAGTTCTCCCAAACATGAAAATTCTGTCATCATTTACTCACTCTCCACTTGTTCCAAACCTGTATGAGATGCTTTCTTCTGTTGAACACAAAAGAAGATATTTTGAAGAAGTTGACGGTAGCCATTGACTTCCATAGTATGGAAAAAAAAAAATACTATGGGAGTCAATGGCTATCGTCAGCTGTTTGGTTACCAATATTCTTTAGAAATATCTTCTTTTGTGTTTTGGAACAAGTGGAGGGTGAGTAAATGATGACAGATTTTTCATTTTGGGGTCAACAACATTAGCCAGGGTTAAAAATGGCATTAGTCTGGGGTTAAAAAGATACCCTGGGTTAAATGCGGTGTAAAAAGCCCTTGATTTGCATCCTATGCCATCACCAAAGACAAATGGTGACATTTACTTGCAAACATCAGTTCTATCACTGTTGACGTAACATACAGGAAGTGTCTGCTTTTCTATCTCATGCAATATCTTTTGGAAAAACCCTGAAAACTGAGCTGCCATCTGAGACATTTTATTTCCAGACAGTCACGTCTTCCTCATTCAATTCACATTTACTACCTGAACACAAACCTTAGTGCTCAGCCTCAGAAGTTACTCAATGTCTTTGCATTGACTTTTTGCGCTGCTATATTAGTCATCAGCTCAGAGCTGCTGCTGGATATGAATTATAATAAAAAAAATGTGCTAGCTTACCCTTCAAAAGTTTGGGGTCAGTATGTTTTTAAAAAGAAATTCATACTTTTATTCAGCAAGGATACATTCAATTGATCAAAAGTTACAGGAAAGACATATACAACGTTACAAACGATTTCTGTTTAAAATAAATTCTATTGGACGTTACTCATCAAAGAATCCTTAAAAAATGCATCGCAGTTTTCACTAAAATATTAAGCACTGTTTTCGCCATTTGATAATAATAATAAATGTTCATACTATGGGAGTCAATGGCTACCGTCAGCTGTTTGGTTACCAATATTCTTTAGAAATATCTTCTTTTGTGTTTTGGAACAAGTGGAGGGTGAGTAAATGATGACAGATTTTTCATTTTGGGGTCAACAACATTAGCCAGGGTTAAAAATGGCATTAGTCTGGGGTTAAAAAGATACCCTGGGTTAAATGCGGTGTAAAAAGCCCTTGATTTGCATCCTATGCCATCACCAAAGACAAATGGTGACATTTACTTGCAAACATCAGTTCTATCACTGTTGACGTAACATACAGGAAGTGTCTGCTTTTCTATCTCATGCAATATCTTTTGGAAAAACCCTGAAAACTGAGCTGCCATCTGAGACATTTTATTTCCAGACAGTCACGTCTTCCTCATTCAATTCACATTTACTACCTGAACACAAACCTTAGTGCTCAGCCTCAGAAGTTACTCAATGTCTTTGCATTGACTTTTTGCGCTGCTATATTAGTCATCAGCTCAGAGCTGCTGCTGGATATGAATTATAATAAAAAAAAATGTGCTAGCTTACCCTTCAAAAGTTTGGGGTCAGTATGTTTTTAAAAAGAAATTCATACTTTTATTCAGCAAGGATACATTAAATTGATCAAAAGTTACAGGAAAGACATATACAACGTTACAAACGATTTCTGTTTAAAATAAATTCTATTGGACGTTACTCATCAAAGAATCCTTAAAAAATGCATCGCAGTTTTCACTAAAATATTAAGCACTGTTTTCGCCATTTGATAATAATAATAAATGTTCTTCAGCACCAAATCAGCATATTAGAATGATTTCTGAAGAATCATGTGACACTGAAGACTGGAGTAATGATGCTGAAAATTCAGCGTTGACATCACCTGAATAAATTACATGTTAATATATATTAGAAAAGGGTTATTTTAAATTGTAATAATATTTCACAATGTTTCACATAAGAGACTTCTTACAAACACATTAATATCTTGCCGACTCCAAACTTTTGAACAGTAGTTTAGTTACTTTGTCATGCACTGTACATGTATTCCTCCCAGTCACCTCATGTGGTTGTTATTGTCATCTCATACTACAGTGTTCTGGTCCTATAAGCGTCCTGACCTGGTCCCTCAGACTCCTTACCCGTATGAAGTCTCTTCCTTGAGCCACACCCTCTCCCCGCCCTCTATTTACGTCACAGATCGGTACCGGGAGGCCAAATCAAACGAAAGGTGATACCTTTCACACACATCTCACAAACCTTCAGACCCATAAACCTGACACATAACACACCTGTTACCTTCTCACATCTCCACTTCTGTTCCCTCCACAGAGACACTGAAAGGAGTAGTTCAACTAAAATATGAAAATTCAATCATCAGTTACCAAACACATTCGACTCTTTTTTTCCCATGGAACACAAATGGAGAATTTTTTTAGCCACATAGTCATGATGAATGGGGACTAAACACTAAATTCAGATTCATCAATCGGAACGAATTCAATCCAAGTGAAACACAAGTTGTGCATGTAAACACAGAGTTAAACTCAAGAACCAGATTAGTTCAATTCATCGACAAATCATTCTGAGCAGTTCTGTGAACTGAATCAATTGCTTCATTGACAAGATTTGACTCAAAAGATTCCTACACAAATCTAGTTTTGCTACTTCTCTCATTTACACACCAAGGAAAGCTAGATGTCATGATTTTTGTCATTTGATTTCAGTTTCAAGTTGTATAGACTACTTTTATGGTGCATTTGAATAATTTTTCGTTTATTGTAACTGCATAGAAAAGAGCAACAAATACTTAAAATTCCTTTTGTGTTCCACTGAAGAAAGAATGTGATGTGAGTTAGGAATGACATGAGGGTTGAGTAAACAATGACAAACCAGTTCAGTTCAGTTCATTAATGAATCTTTCAGAGCAATTTTGTTAACTGAATCAATTGATACATTGAAAAGATTCACAAATCTTCACAAATCAAACTTATCTCATGGAGATACACACCAAGGAGAGCTAGATATCATATTTTTTGTCATTTGATTTCATTTTCAAGTTTTATAGACTACTTTTATGGTGCGTTTGAGTCCTATTTTAAGCCGTAAAAAACGAAAGAGCAACAAATACTTCAAAATTAGGAAGTTAGGAATGACAGGAGGGTTGAGTAAATGATGACAAATATTTCATTTTTGTGTGAACTATTCCTTTAACTCACCAAGTCACCTTGAATATAGTCAAACAAAGTCACAATGTAACACTTCGAGATCAGTGTCTTATATCCTGCTACAGCGTGAGCAGTTGACCAGGTCATGCTACACTTGTTCTGTTGCTGGATTCTTTGTGTTTGGTTTTCACTGATCTCCTCACCTTTGACACACACCCGTTTTAAGAGGAATTCCTGTGAAAAGACCTCATGAATATTTCACCTGCTTGCTAAGGACAAATATAATAGAGGTATTGTTTTATGACACACAATACCACAAAAGGGGGCATTCGGTGTTCCCCAGTTTGAACAATGATTATTGAGTTAAAAGAGCTTTGTCAGATGCCATCCTGTTGACTTAAAGGGTTAGTTCACCCAAAAATGAAAATTAGCTTGTGTTTTACTTACCCTCGACGCATCCTAGGTGTATATGACTTTCTTTCAGACGAATCCAGTCAGAGTTATATTAAAATTTATCTTTGATCTTTCAAGCTGTTTATTGGCACTCAGCGGGTGTTGCAGTTGAACAGTCCACAAGTCGTCAAATAAAGCTCGCGCATTCATAATAAAACGTGCCGCAGACGGCTCCAGGGGATGAATAAAGGCCCCCTGTAGCGAATCCATGACTTTTTGTAAGAAAAATATCCATATTTCAAACGTAATAAACACTTTTCTCTCACTTCTGTTATCTACCATATGCGGATCCGTTCCGGTGGAAGGCGGAAGGCGTATGCGCAGCGCACGCGCCTCTGAGATATGCTAGTCTTGCGCATTTGTTTAATAAGAGCAAAGGAAACCCAGTCTCCTCTTGGTTTATATCGAAATCCTCTGACATTTTTCTTTCTGGGGTTAAAAAGATACCCTGGGTTAAATGCGGTGTAAAAAGCCCTTGATTTGCATCCTATGCCATCACCAAAGACAAATGGTGACATTTACTTGCAAACATCAGTTCTATCACTGTTGACGTAACATACAGGAAGTGTCTGCTTTTCTATCTCATGCAATATCTTTTGGAAAAACCCTGAAAACTGAGCTGCCATCTGAGACATTTTATTTCCAGACAGTCACGTCTTCCTCATTCAATTCACATTTACTACCTGAACACAAACCTTAGTGCTCAGCCTCAGAAGTTACTCAATGTCTTTGCATTGACTTTTTGCGCTGCTATATTAGTCATCAGCTCAGAGCTGCTGCTGGATATGAATTATAATAAAAAAAATGTGCTAGCTTACCCTTCAAAAGTTTGGGGTCAGTATGTTTTTAAAAAGAAATTCATACTTTTATTCAGCAAGGATACATTCAATTGATCAAAAGTTACAGGAAAGACATATACAACGTTACAAACGATTTCTGTTTAAAATAAATTCTATTGGACGTTACTCATCAAAGAATCCTTAAAAAATGCATCGCAGTTTTCACTAAAATATTAAGCACTGTTTTCGCCATTTGATAATAATAATAAATGTTCTTCAGCACCAAATCAGCATATTAGAATGATTTCTGAAGAATCATGTGACACTGAAGACTGGAGTAATGATGCTGAAAATTCAGCGTTGACATCACCTGAATAAATTACATGTTAATATATATTAGAAAAGGGTTATTTTAAATTGTAATAATATTTCACAATGTTTCACATAAGAGACTTCTTACAAACACATTAATATCTTGCCGACTCCAAACTTTTGAACAGTAGTTTAGTTACTTTGTCATGCACTGTACATGTATTCCTCCCAGTCACCTCATGTGGTTGTTATTGTCATCTCATACTACAGTGTTCTGGTCCTATAAGCGTCCTGACCTGGTCCCTCAGACTCCTTACCCGTATGAAGTCTCTTCCTTGAGCCACACCCTCTCCCCGCCCTCTATTTACGTCACAGATCGGTACCGGGAGGCCAAATCAAACGAAAGGTGATACCTTTCACACACATCTCACAAACCTTCAGACCCATAAACCTGACACATAACACACCTGTTACCTTCTCACATCTCCACTTCTGTTCCCTCCACAGAGACACTGAAAGGAGTAGTTCAACTAAAATATGAAAATTCAATCATCAGTTACCAAACACATTCGACTCTTTTTTTCCCATGGAACACAAATGGAGAATTTTTTTAGCCACATAGTCATGATGAATGGGGACTAAACACTAAATTCAGATTCATCAATCGGAACGAATTCAATCCAAGTGAAACACAAGTTGTGCATGTAAACACAGAGTTAAACTCAAGAACCAGATTAGTTCAATTCATCGACAAATCATTCTGAGCAGTTCTGTGAACTGAATCAATTGCTTCATTGACAAGATTTGACTCAAAAGATTCCTACACAAATCTAGTTTTGCTACTTCTCTCATTTACACACCAAGGAAAGCTAGATGTCATGATTTTTGTCATTTGATTTCAGTTTCAAGTTGTATAGACTACTTTTATGGTGCATTTGAATAATTTTTCGTTTATTGTAACTGCATAGAAAAGAGCAACAAATACTTAAAATTCCTTTTGTGTTCCACTGAAGAAAGAATGTGATGTGAGTTAGGAATGACATGAGGGTTGAGTAAACAATGACAAACCAGTTCAGTTCAGTTCATTAATGAATCTTTCAGAGCAATTTTGTTAACTGAATCAATTGATACATTGAAAAGATTCACAAATCTTCACAAATCAAACTTATCTCATGGAGATACACACCAAGGAGAGCTAGATATCATATTTTTTGTCATTTGATTTCATTTTCAAGTTTTATAGACTACTTTTATGGTGCGTTTGAGTCCTATTTTAAGCCGTAAAAAACGAAAGAGCAACAAATACTTCAAAATTAGGAAGTTAGGAATGACAGGAGGGTTGAGTAAATGATGACAAATATTTCATTTTTGTGTGAACTATTCCTTTAACTCACCAAGTCACCTTGAATATAGTCAAACAAAGTCACAATGTAACACTTCGAGATCAGTGTCTTATATCCTGCTACAGCGTGAGCAGTTGACCAGGTCATGCTACACTTGTTCTGTTGCTGGATTCTTTGTGTTTGGTTTTCACTGATCTCCTCACCTTTGACACACACCCGTTTTAAGAGGAATTCCTGTGAAAAGACCTCATGAATATTTCACCTGCTTGCTAAGGACAAATATAATAGAGGTATTGTTTTATGACACACAATACCACAAAAGGGGGCATTCGGTGTTCCCCAGTTTGAACAATGATTATTGAGTTAAAAGAGCTTTGTCAGATGCCATCCTGTTGACTTAAAGGGTTAGTTCACCCAAAAATGAAAATTAGCTTGTGTTTTACTTACCCTCGACGCATCCTAGGTGTATATGACTTTCTTTCAGACGAATCCAGTCAGAGTTATATTAAAATTTATCTTTGATCTTTCAAGCTGTTTATTGGCACTCAGCGGGTGTTGCAGTTGAATAGTCCACAAGTCGTCAAATAAAGCTCGCGCATTCATAATAAAACGTGCCGCAGACGGCTCCAGGGGATGAATAAAGGCCCCCTGTAGCGAATCCATGACTTTTTGTAAGAAAAATATCCATATTTCAAACGTAATAAACACTTTTCTCTCACTTCTGTTATCTACCATATGCGGATCCGTTCCGGTGGAAGGCGGAAGGCGTATGCGCAGCGCACGCGCCTCTGAGATATGCTAGTCTTGCGCATTTGTTTAATAAGAGCAAAGGAAACCCAGTCTCCTCTTGGTTTATATCGAAATCCTCTGACATTTTTCTTTGCAAATCTTCGGTTTGTACTTTTAATTCGTGACCGGCGTTTTGTTTTGTTCTCTCTCCGCGTTCGTCACTTATAAATAAAGCTCGCGCATTCATAATAAAACGTGCCGCAGACGGCTCCAGGGGATGAATAAAGGCCCCCTGTAGCGAATCCATGACTTTTTGTAAGAAAAATATCCATATTTCAAACGTAATAAACACTTTTCTCTCACTTCCGTTATCTACCATATGCGGATCCGTTCCGGCGGAAGGCGTATGCGCAGCGCACGCGCCTCTGAGATATGCTAGTCTCGCGCATTTGTTTAATAAGAGCAAAGGAAAACCAGTCTCCTCTTGGTTTATATCGAAATCCTCTGACATTTTTCTTTGCAAATCTTCGGTTTGTACTTTTAATTCGTGACCGGCGTTTTGTTTTGTTCTCTCTCCGCGTTCGTCACTAATCACGCAACGCCGCGCATCTTTCGTCAACCGCCGTAACTGCTTCAGTGGATGACAGTCAGCGGAAGTGAGAGAAAAGTGTTTATTACCTTTGAAATTTGGATGTTTTTCTTACAAAAACTCATGGATTCGCTACAAGGGGCCTTTATTCATCCCCCGGAGCCGTCTGCGGCACGTTTTATTATGAATGCGCGAGCTTTATTCGACGACTTATGGACTGTTCAACTGCAACACCCGCTGAGTGCCATTAAACAGCTTGAAAGATCAAAGACAATTTTTAATATAACTCTGACTGGATTCATCTGAAAGAAAGTCATATACACCTAGGATGCTTCGAGGGTAAGTAAAACACAAGTGAATTTTCATTTTTGGGTGAAGTAACCCTTTAATCAACATAATAGGTTCATTAGAGGTGGTTGGTAAGGCATACATGACTATTGTTATTGCTTACACTTAATGTTAGGGATTTACAATGTTTCAGATGGTACGTTGGGGCTCGCTAAGATTTTATTTTATAAGTTTTTATGCTCACCAAGGCTGCATTTATTTGGATAAAAATACAGACAACTGTGGAAAAAATTTGAAATATTATTACAATTTAAAATAGCTGTTTTTTGTTTATATATATTTTAAAATGTAATTTATTCCTGTGATTTTACACTTGTCTTTAATGTCACACGATCCTTCAGAAATCATTCTAATATGCTGATTTGCAGCTCAAGAAACGTTTCTTATTATCAATGTTGAAAACAGTTGTGATGCTTAATAGTTTTGTGGAAAATGTGATGCTTTTTTCAGGATTCTTGAATGAATAGAATGTTCAAAAGGATAGCATTTATTTGAAATAGAAATCTTAGTAAGATTGTAAATGCCTTTTAATGTAACTTTTGACCAATTGAATGCGTTCTTGTTGAATTAAAGTATTCTATCTATCTTACTGACCTCAGGCAGTGAAAGTGTTTGATGAACTCCAGGGTGAGCCTGTGTTAATGAACACCCTCAGCGTCTGAAATGTGTCACATGCACAAAGTGCTTTATGTTCATGAGGTGAGCAAGGGTCTGGTTGCCATGGCAGCAATAACTCAAGAGATTATTGCAGGCAATAAATACATAAGAACACTCCAAAGTGGATATAGATGGCCAGCACTCATCTGAAGTGTGTCACGGTAATGATAAGAAATATTACCACTGAAGTGCTTTCTGTTTTGGTCTCCCTCACATGGCCACCCGTATTCCCGTAGATCAGTTATGGCATTTATGAGACCACCAGCTTTGCTCAATATTCATCTGTCATGTTTTGAGGACTCTTAATTTGTAGCTTGAGCTTCTTTGTGCTGTTCTTCTGATGCACTGCTGTTGTTTGCATTCAGATGTGCCTGCTCAACTTTTACATTGGAGGACAGTGCCATCTGTCTGACATCGGAGCAAAGCACCATGGACATAGACAGAGATGACGACTCAGTGCTGGATGTCTACTTTGTGAGTTTGGGCAGGACAGTTAGTCAATTGCATTTCAAGGGATCTATGAATCTTAGTCAGAGTCATGTCGAAAATGAAGTTGTGACGAACAGAAGTACAATACGTTCAATAGGTTGTACTATCCTATGTTTTTTGCAAAGACATTTTTAGTGTTTTATTGACTTAATTATCAATACCAAGGTCCACAATATAATCCACTAAGCTTTGATCCCTCACAGCATTATTTTCACTCACATTAAATGAAATCTGATGTCTACCCCGGATAAGGTCTTTCGGATCTGCAATGATATTGTCAAAAAAAATTTAAATATCTGTTATTACATGGCTCTCTGATTGGTCAGTTGCAGCATAACTATTATCAGAGCAGTTAAAATTGTGTATTGATCAATAAGCATTCAGGACTAATTATAAAACTATCTATTTTGTAATTTGTAATATTGACCAATCAACCTTGCACTTTCCCTTACTTCTTTTATGTATAAATATATTAACTTTCAGAATTTAATCTGATATTTATAAACATTTATAAATTATAATTATATAATATAATAATGAACATATATTATGAATGTATGCATATGTGTATATATATATACATATATGACTATTAGATTACATTTTTTTATTTTTAATATTAATGTTATTATATTTCAATTTTTATATCTTTATAATGTATAAATATCAGATTAAATTCCAAGTTAGTATTTATATTATATTCCAAATTGTATTATTATTATTAAAAATAATAATAATAATAATAATAATACATATTTTTTAATTATAATTTGTAATATTGACCGACTAAACTTTTTTAATTTTATAAATATTTATAAATATCTGGAAAGTTACTAAGTAAGGAATAAGACAGTCAGTCAGTTTTGCAATTTATAATTTAAAAAAGGTTTAATAATAAATAAATAAGAATAACACTTGTAATATAAATAATAACTTTCAGAATTTAAACTGATATTATAAATATTTACAAATTATAACATAATAATTAAAATATTTAGAAATGTCAGATTACGAAATTTTTAAATATATTGTGATTCTGCCACTATTAACATGTAACTGCTATAACATTTGACCATGCTGGTAATCATATTTCCATAGATTTTTTTTAGCTTTTGTAATTTAATATGAATAAATTAATATCAAATAATATACTGATATTAATATATGATATATATATATTAGTATATAACCAGGTTATGAAAATTATTTATATAATGACAGTTATACTGCCACTAATAACATGTTGTTGATCTCTTTTCCAGTAAGGAGCAAAACGAGATGATCTTTCATCTCTACCTTCCCCATCACCTGCCACACAGTAGTCCCCTGGATCCTCATCTGCCGAGAGCGCCACCTGCTGCCAAAAAAGAAAACATCCGCCAACACAACATCTACAAACATACTGGAACTGTATCTGTACATTAGAATCACAGTGCTAAATATTTCCCTGGACTGGTCGGAGGGAATATGGCTACGAGATTTCAGATTCATGGACATCCATAACCAAATGCTGATTGAATGCTTTTGTAGCCCTTATATTACAGGCAGCTCTGGCATCAGACCGATGTCACGTCATTCATTGTTTTGGAAACATGCAATAATTACGCTCCTTTAATATGCAAAGATGGTTTCTAACAGCTATCTTCTTTACCTCCTAAAGGATCTCGTGTTTAGTGACCTAGAATGCAGTGCTTGGCGATTCAAACTCTAGGTAACAGAGCTGTTCAGATATTTGTAAAAGTGCAATCTTCATACATTATACAAGTGTGTGTTATCGTAGTTCTCCTCACTGGAGTAATAATCCTGATGTTTTATTTCCAAACAAACACAGTTTCTAGGAAACCACAGATGTGTGACTTTAGTTCTCAGACATCTCTTATGATCACAAATGTGTCATGTACTGTAAATGTAGGAGTGTCTTTCACAGTGTAACTTCAGTCATGCTCAGATTTATGCTGGTACATCAGCTCCTGATAATCAAGAGTGGAATTCCCATCAGCAGTGTGCGTTATTTACATATATACAGATGCCAGAATATTTCTATGTGCTAAAATGCAGATGAGAAGTCAGTCTTTCATGTGGGGATGGGTGAGTTTCATACACGCTTATACATTCTCTCAGGAGTTCCTTTTCCTAGAAGCGTCCAAATGATTGCTTTATGTTAGATGCTAGTGCGCTTCTGATTTTTAAATGCCATGTCAGAACTGTCTTTTGAATATTATTATTGCACCTTTGTTTGTTTTGAGGCCATAATTTATTAAATCATTATTATAAATTAACTTTGTGTGGGTGTGAATTTCATGTCAACCAGTATTTGGCCATTTTAAGATTATTGCAACATGCATTGTTTGGGAATAAATGTACATTTTATTTTGGCAAATTTGTATATATTTTGCTCCCATTAAATTGTGTTATGTACAGTATGCACTAACATTCAAATGTTTGGGGTCAGTAAGATTTTAAATATTTTTGAAAAAAGTCTCTTGCACTCACAAAGGCAGCAATCATTTGATCAAAAATACCGTTAAAACGGTAATATTGTAAAATATTACCATTTAAAATAACCGTTTTTTTATTTGAATATATTTTTAAATGTAATTAATTACGGTGATGGCAAAGCTGAATTTTCAGCATCATTACTCCAGTCTTCAGAGTCACATGATCCTTCAGAAAGCATTCTAATACGTTGACTTGGTACTCAAGAAACATTAGAAAAATAGAAATCTTTTGTAAATATGATACATTTCTTCAATGTCACTTTTGATCCATTCAATGAGGTTTTTCTAAGGAAATTTTTTTTTTTTTTTAAATAAATAAATGTATTTATTTACTGACCTCAAACAGTAGTGTATATATTGATGTTATATTGCCAACTTGCTTAAATATAAGTATCAATATTGTCTATATCAATATTGTATCAAAATATATCATCATTTATTGCCTTTTATGTGCAGTATACATAACATTTAGTGGTGAAACTAAATTTCACTCAGAAATTGCTAGTAATTAGTTTTCACAAGTAATTACAAAGAAATGGCAAGTAACATACACTCTAAAAAATGCTGGGTTGTTTCTACCCAACTTTGGGTCAAATATGGACTAACCCAACTTTTGGGTTAAAAATGTAATGTAAAAATGTAACCCAACAGTTGGGTTAGTCCATATTTGACCCAAAGTTGGGTAGAAACAACCCAGCATTTTTTAGAGTGTATGAATATGAATTAAGCATTAAATTTTTAAGTAGAAAGACTGAAATAGTATTTATTTATAAATGAATAATCTTCAATTACAACATAGAAAAATATGTTTACAATAACAGGGTGACAACAGCAGGGCATGTATAGTGATTTTATATCAATAACTGAATAGATTGGGAAAAAAGTCTGTGGGGTTTGTATCTTTACCTCATTTTTGTCAAAAAACAAAACAAAACCAAAAACAGAATTTTATTTTAAAACCACAAAACATTGCATATGATATTAATACTAACATTTTCATATGATTTCATATGATATTAATACTAACATTTTCATATGATTTCATATGATATTAAAACTAACATTTTTTAATCAAATTGAATTAATAATTGTGCATAATATATAATGAAGTAACCAGTGTTGTGGGTAACGCGTTACAAGTAACGTGAGTTACGTAATCAGATTACTTTTTAAGTAACTAGTAAAGTAACACATTACTTTTTAGTTTACAAGAAAATATCCGAGTTACTTTTTCAAAAAAGTAACGCCAGTTACTTTGTTTTCCCATTTATTGACTGACAAGTCTCCTGTGCCCATATTGGGAGAAATCGGAAGTACAGAGGCGTTGTGTGCGCTGTGTGAACATGATGTAGTTCTAGACTAAATGTCAATGTGCATTCATTCATCCCACTCGCAAAAAAACTGATTTAGTATTCATCAAAATGAATTAAAACAGTGAAATGCAAACTTTAAATATTAAATATGTTAAAATAACACAAATGTATCTAATCCCATTTTATTAACTAATGTCTTTGCTGCTGACTTTTGATGATCCAGTTCAACCATACTAATAAGCAAAAATGACTTTAGGTAAACTAACAATTGTGCTTCATTGTTTTTTTTATTGCTGAAGAGTGTTGAACCTTCTTCTCCTGCGTTCTACTGTACAGACGGGAATTTACTTTTGCTTCAGCCTGAGGTTTATTCATTACACTTTTTGGTGTGAAAGGACTTTTACATTTGCTATAAATAGAACTTCTTATATTAAAAACAATCAAGCCCTGCTCATATTTAAAAAGTAACGCAAAAATAATGTAACGCATTACTTTCCATAAAAAGTAACTAAGTAACGTAATTAGTTACTTTTTTAGGTTGTAATGCAATATTGCAATGCATTACTTTTAAAAGTAACTTTCCCCAACACTGGTAGTAATAATAAGTAGTAGTAGTAGTCGTAGTAGTGTTGTCAGCACAGTAGTGTCACTCACCAGCAACTCCCAGAAGTTTGCAGGATGTTTTGTCACATTATTGTAACACCTTCCCCCAGTTCTTTACTACTATCTTCGAGAGTTCTTCCATTCTAGAAAGTACCAGTCAGACCTCCACCGCCCCAGCTGTTGGGACACACACCTCCTCCCCCCTCCCATCAGTCAGCTCAGGACATTTGCTACCGAGTTCTCAGCTGTCATTACCTCTCCCTAAATAGACCGTATCAGAGAAGGGCCATTTCAACTGATACAAGGGGTGTCCACCTCTCTGCAAACTAAAATGAATCTACCATCACTGGAATAAACAAACAGCATGACGTGGAATAGAGACAAAAACTGAAAGATATAATCACAGGTTGTCACTGGTAAGATGCATAATGCATTTGTATGAACAGGTGGGGTGGATGAAGACCTCGCTACCCCTCATAATAAAATGGATCCATCCGTTATCCTGGTATGTTCCCCCCCATGTGCAAGATATATATAAGTGACTCTTGGGGGGCTGTTACGACTGATAAACCCAAACGAGAAGAAACTACACACAAGATAGACTTTCCACTTACGAAGAAGCAGAATTCAATGACGGTATGTAACTATGATCCCATGCAAGAGTGCTTGTATTTGAATGCATAATCTATAGAGTTATAGAGGTCAGAAAGGGGAATATATATAATGTACAGATAACAGAGGTTGCCATTGACTGTGTGCAGTATTGTGGAAGTCAGACCTCTTAGGAGGCCACACTGTTGCCCAAATAAGGCATGAGGGTCAGACAGTTAAAGTCAGAGATAACATGTGCTTGACCATTTGCTTGAGAACACTGGAAGATTGGCACCCAAAAAGTAAGTGTGAACATGTTTTGATGTGCTACGTTTAAATGTTGCAAGAATGCAGAATGTGTTAGGATTAAAAGTTTGTAATTAATACAAGACACATTAATTTTTTCTCTCTCCATGCGCTGGTCAATTTTAAAATTTTTCATAACATGTTGTTTCAGACTAGTGGAAACAAAACATTCAAAATATGCTTTCAAGTGTTTATTTCATACACACACACACATATATTTATATATACATATTTAAATAATACAATAATAATTGTAATAATATTAACAATGACATGATTTTTAACAAGATGAATTCTGCTACTTTAGTTACAAAACAATGTCATTTAACTTTTATATATATATATATATATATATATATATATTTTTTTTTTTTTAATAATATTGATAATGACATCTTTTTAGAGGCTAATGCTGCTGATTTAATGTTGTGTGCAAGTATATTGTTTGAAAGCTCAATCAAAATATGTTTAAATGTAACACTTGAATGAATATGACTGTAAACGGAAAAGAGTTGCATGTGAACAATATGCTACCTTTTAAATGGTTACATTCTCTTTTAGATGGGAGAAATCGCAGATCCAGTCCAGTTAAAGGACGAGGGCAACAAGCACTTCCAAGCCGGAGAAATCGACAAAGCCATTGAGTGCTACACTAAAGCCATTAAGTTCTCTAAAGACAAGAAGGCGCTGGCAGTCATCTATAGGAACAGATCGGCCTGTTTCTTGAAAAAGGTAAGAATCCTTTACACATTACAAGCCTATATAAAACACATCCTATTTCAGCATTAATTTAATTCAATGTCTTGTTTTCCAGGAAAATTATAACAATGCAGTATCAGATGCCACTAAAGGTAAAATGATTCAGAAATTAATCATTCTTTTTAAAACTATTTTTGTTCTGGTTTCAGGTTTCATTATACCATCAAACAGCAACATTTTACTATCGATCCATTAAATAATCAGTTTCTTCTGACCAATTGCAGCTATCGATGTGGATGCCGCAGACATCAAGGCTCTGTACAGAAGATGTCAAGCGCTCGAGAAGCTTGGCAAACTAGACATGGCCTTCAAGGACGTCCAGAGATGTGCAACCTTAGAGCCGAAAAACAAGACGTTCCTCGAGACCCTCAGAAGACTCGGAGCTGAGATCCAACAGAAGGTGATGATCATTTCTGTCAAGATGCTTTTGAGTTCACATAATGCACATCTGAGTTTCTAAAGAGCATATCTGATTCTCTCCACAGCTGAAAACAACCTTCTCAACAGACTCCAGAGTACAGAACATGTTTGACATCCTATTTGCAGATGAATCAGATAAAGAAAAGCAAGAAAAGGTTTCTGTTCCCTTTTAGTTTAGAAGAGTAAAGCAAAAGCTAAATTAATGTTAAACACAGTCACATATTTCTCAGTAAAACTGAACAACATGTTTGTTGGGTCCACTAGGCTGCCAACAACCTGATTGTCCTTGCCAGAGAGGACGCGGGTGCAGAGAGAATATTCCAGAACAACGGTGTGCCTTTACTCGTGCAACTCATTGACACAGGAAAACCTGATATGATTCTGGCTGCCATACGAACCCTGTCAGGAATGTGCACAGGCCACAGAGCAAGGGTGAGGAACAGCAAAATAATCATTTTCTAATCTTTTTTCCCTAAAAATATTTAAACATCCTCACAAAATTGCACCAGTTAAGATAATTACGATTGTAAATAAATATGCATATATATTAATATGAGACTTGTTTTTTAGAGAATTTGTTAAATTAATTAATTAGTATTATTTTTTGTTTTATTTTATATTAAAATAAGATTTCCCCTATTTTTTATGAAAAATGTATGTGAGGGGGAGAAAACTTTTTTATTTATTTTTTATGAATTTGCTTATTTATGTGGGTAAGAAAAATATCCCTAAATCAACATACTCTCTGCATTTATTATTTGATAAAAAAAAAATTATATTTAATATAATATAATATTTCATGCACATATTAAAATGCTGTATTATATATTACATATTTATTATTTTAAATGATTGATTTGTATTTTCCTGAAAAACATTGATTAAAATATTTTTGCTAGTTTATGCAATAAAGTATAGAATAAAAAAACATGGATAAATAATAAGGAATACAATTAAGGCCACAAAACAAAACTAATCTCTCAAAATGAAGACAAAAATCCTTAAATCAACATATCTGAATTTGTTAATTATTAAGAATAAACATTTATAATATTATATAATATAATATAAAAAAAATCTAATATTAAGATTTTGTATTATATATATAAAACAAAAAACTGAAATACTGACTAAAATGTTTTGCAAGTTTATGCAATAACTAACGCAATAAAAGTGATAAGCTAATAAGGAATAAAGGCCACAAAACACTCATTTTAATTCCATGGGGTCTTAAAGGAACATCAGTCTTCTTAGTGCACTTCTGTATTTTTCTCTGTATTTGCGACCATTTGTTTAAAACGTTTATGGTAAAAACTTTTATACAGTTGCTTTAATGAATCTGGAGCACTCTAAATGAGCGACTGTGTGCCCGAGAATAGGTGTTTGCATAAAACGCGCCCAAAGCATATCCATATAAGGGCCACAAAACCAGTCATAAGGGTCCATTTTTCGAAATTGATGTATTAACAGTATAAATGATACATTGATGTATGGTTTGTTATGATAGGACAATTATCTGAGGGTGCAAAAAAATCTAAATATTGAGAAAATCACCTTTAAAGTTGTCCAAATGAAGTTCTTAGCCATGCATATTACTAATCAAAAATTAAGTTTTAATATATTTACAGTAGGAAATGTACAGAATAACTTCTTAATGGAACATGATCTTTACTTAATATCCTAATGATTTTTGGCATAAAAGAAAAATCTATATTTTTGACCCATACAATGTATTTTTGGCTATTGCTACAAATATACCCCAGCGACTTAAGACTGGTTTTGTGCTCCAGGGTCACATATAAATGTCATCTTAACATGATTAGAAGGCCGCCCAGAGTATGTACTGTTTGCATATGTGTGGTAAATTTCATAAATTTAGAATATCCTTTAGTATGAAACTTTTTGGTGAATAATGATTTGTTTGAAAAAACGTTTGTATGCAGATTTCACATGCCAATTGCTTAGTACATACACATGATTTGTGCTGCTAGAAGGACAGAAAAGACATGATTCAATCATGTAATGTTTTTATGGAAATGTCTCAAAAACAGGTCTGAAGAAGATTCTGAAAGTCTGTGGTCAGGTTCCAGACCTTCCGGATCAGTTGCCGTTGACGGAAAACACGCAGCTGATTGCTAGCGTTCTTCTCAACAAGGTCTACGATGACTTGCGCTGTGACCCTGAGAGAGATAACTTCAGAGATATCTGTGATGAATACATTAAGTAAGTTCCGCTTTCTCCACAAAATTAGGATCCTATATGAACACACACACGTATCCTATGTCGCTGGTTTCCATCAACAGGAGCAAATTTGACCCCAACGACATGGACAAAAACATCCATGCCATCAATACTCTATCAGGCCTTCTACAGGGGCCTTTCGACGTGGGCAACGTCCTTGCGGGTCGTCAGGGTGTTATGGAGATGATGGTGGCCCTTTGTGGTTCCGAGCGTGAAGTGGACCAGTTGGTAGCAGTGGAGGCCCTCATTCACGCATCCACCAAAACCAGCAAAGCCTCCTTCTTCATCAGCAATGGAGTAACTCTGCTGAAGGACATGTACAAGAAAACTAAAAATGAGAAGATCAAGATCAGAGCCCTTGTGGTGAGCAGACACTTTACACACTATTCAAACTGTGTGTTGTTGTAGTGTTCATTAGTTATTAAAAAAGAGCAGTTGTTGTATTTTGCATATTTAACATAATACATCCAATTTTCTTTTCTCAGGGTCTGTGTAAACTGGGATCCGCTGGAGGAGATGATTACAGCATGAGACAATTTGCTGAGGGCTCCACTGAGAAACTGGCAAAGCAGTGCAGAAAGTGAGAATGCATATCATTAGAAATTACATTGTCTGTTATCTTTTAATGTAATATTTTAATATAATATAAAATCATGCACTATTGTTTAAAGGTTTAGGGTCAATAAGATTTTTATTCAACAAGGATACATTAAATGGATTTAAAAAGTAAGGACTTTTATAATTAAAAAAATTTTATTTAATCCCCCCCCCCCCCCCCACAAATGCTGTTCTTTTGAAATGTCTACTCATCAAAGAATTCTGAAAAAAGTATCAAGGTTTCCACAAACATATTAACTAGCACAACTGTAATTTCAACTCTGATAATCATTGATAATAATAAGATATGTTTCTTGTGCAGCAAATCAGCATATGATTTCTGAAGGATCGTGTGACTCTGAAGACTGGAGTAATGGACAAGAATAAATTACATTTCAATATGTATTCAAATAGAAAACAGTTATTTTAAATTGCAGTAATATTTCACAATACTACTGTTTTTACTGTATCAAACCCCCCCCAAAAAAAAATGCTGTTCTTTTGAAATGTCTACTCATCAAAGAATTCTGAAAAAAAAGTATCAAGGTTTCCACAAACATATTAACTAGCACAACTGTAATTTCAACTCTGATAATCATTGATAATAATAAGAAATGTTTCTTGTGCAGCAAATCAGCATATGATTTCTGAAGGATCGTGTGACTCTGAAGACTGGAGTAATGGACAAGAATAAATTACATTTCAATATGTATTCAAATAGAAAACAGTTATTTTAAATTGCAGTAATATTTCACAATACTACTGTTTTTACTGTATCAAACAAATGCAGCCTTGGTGAGCATAAGAGACTTCTTTCAAAAACATGTAAAAAATTGTAATAACCCCAAGCTTTTGGACAGTAGTGTAGTGTGCAACTTTTAGAACTCAAAACTTCTTTCTTGGCCCAAAAAGACAATACACTGAAACTAAAATGGAAAGCACTTCAGTCCTACTGTCAGAAACTCATATACATTATATGACCACCCTCATTTACACTGTCAACAGTGCCTTATTCAGCGTTGCTTTGTGATAGCTTCATGCAGATGTTATAGATTTATACTGCATTTCAACTAGATTTGGTTTATTCCAGGTGGCTCTGCAACCCTACACTTGATGTGCGTACCAGGAAATGGGCCGTTGAAGGTTTGGCTTACCTTACCAATGATGCTGATGTAAAAGATGACTTTATTGATGATGAAGCAGCCATGAGGGCCATGTTTGAACTTACCAAGGTGTGCTGACAGATAAAAAGACTGAAATAACTTGATCAAGTTTGGCAATTGCACAGATTTTTTTAATACGTATGACTTAATAGAGATTTAAATATGAGTGTACAAATGTGCAATGCAACATTTTTCTCTTATAGTCAAAAGATAAGACCATCCTATATGCTGTCGCCTGCACCCTGGTCAACTGCACCAACAGCTATGACAAGAAAGAGATCATCCCTGAGATGGTGCAGCTGGCCAAATTCTCCAAACAACACGTCCCAGAGCAGCACCCGAAGGTAACATACACAGAATCCTGTGATGTAGCAAATCAGTCTTTAAAAGTACAAATATTCCATGTAGTTTCTCAATAAATACTAATACAATGCATGGTTAATAATTATACAAGAATTACAAATGTTGTTTGAAATTAGATGGAAGTGTATGATGTCAAACTTGCACTGCTGTCACTGCTCGAAATGTTACGTCAGATGAGTTCATATATATATATATAATTTTTATTTTTTTTACTTTTCTCTTGTGCTTTAGGATAAGAAGGACTTCATTGTAAGGCGAGTGAAGAAGATACTGAAAGCTGGAGTCACATCAGCTCTCACTGTCATGGTCAAAGCAGACAATTATGTCCTGACTGATCAGACCAAAGAGATGCTTGCAAGGTAAGACTCAAAAATGAGTCAAAAGTCTGCTCTAATAATGTCGGCAGCTATGTTTGGGTTGTTTTGTGCTGTGAATTACTGACTTCATCCAATGAAACCATTGAAATTCAAGAGTCATTTAAACACCACAATTGTCATTTTGTTTAATATTAATAAAAGACCATTTATTTATTTATCTTAATTTTTAAAATATATTTTTATGAATTTATTTTGGTACTACATTCAGTGTTTTTAAATCTAAACCCTGATGCTGAAACCACCATTCTAAAATCTAATATGGCCTATTGATTTGTCATCTATTATGCTGCTGAAGTTAATGCTCTTACTATTTTTGTCCACCCAGAGTGTTTCTTGCCTTGGCAGATGATATTAAAGATCGTGGCACAATTGTAGCTCAAGGTGGAGGAAAGGTAAAAGACCACAAACCCAGTAGATACTTCAGTAAATCTAAATCTCCTGCTTTGGTGAAATTAAAACTTTTCACTATGTGTGACAGGCTTTGATCCCATTAGCCCTGGAGGGAACTGACAACGGAAAAATAAAGGCCAGCCATGCTCTGGCAAAGATCGCAGCCGTCTCCAACCCTGAAATCGCCTTCCCTGGCGAGAGGGTAAGATTACCTTTTACATGCTTATCACTGTGAAAGCCAAAAGAATATGCAAAATACATTGTCAGGAAAACTGAAAGGATCGTGAAATGCTAAATTTTTTTTTTTAGATATGTATGCATCGCACAGTATTGAAAACAAAGATATCACATGTTATTTTGAATATTAAGGGTATTTTTTGTTAGTTGTTTGAGCATGTAAAAATCGAAAATAAAAAGACCTAATTTTCCATATATCTATTCTTTCCATAACAGATATATGAAGTTGTGCGACCGCTGGTTTCCTTGCTAAACACAGAACGAGACGGTTTGGAAAACTTTGAAGCTCTGCTGGGTCTCACAAATCTGGCTGCCTTGAATGACAAACTACGGTAAGTGCCATAGAATGTCATCTGGCGCTGATCGACAAACATTTTAAATATTAAATGCAAATAATTTAGGAAAGGCAGAATTCAGAGAATTCAGAAGGAGGAACTGCAAACTATAGACTCAAAGATGAAAAGCAAAATTCAGAAAGCAAGATTCATGCTCACATTATAAGCAAACATTTCATTTACACAGAACCACATTTTTTTAATTAAAACTTTGAATTATTCTTTTGATGCCTTGCAAGCACTTCTGCGTCCTTCTAGAAATGCAGCTCTTTATCTGTGCAATTCTTTTTCTTTATTTCCACAGAGTGAAAATCCTTAAAGAAAAAGCTCTCCCAGAGATTGAGAACTACATGTTTGAGGAACATGATCAAATCAGACAAGCTGCCACAGAGTGCATGTGCAATCTGGTTTGCTGCAAAGAGGTTTGAAATTACCATTGAGAACACATTCGTCTATCCAAATATTGCATTTTTTGGTAGGTTTGGATGGAAATATTGACCAAATTCATTTATTTCAACAGGTTCAAGACAGATACCTGGAAGATGGCAATGATAAACTCAAGCTTCTTATTCTGCTCTGCGGTGAAGATGATGTGCAGCTTCAGAGGGCGGCTGCTGGTGCATTGGCTATGCTCACCGCCGCACAGAAGAAACTGGCTGTTAAGATTACTAAAGTGGTACGTATCAATAACAACAGCTGTCACGTTCAATTTGATTCATTTGTCCCACTCTAATCTACCACTTACCTAAGTATTGTGGCAGGACCATGGTACACATGGTACAATGTTGTTGTCAGATACTCGTACCAAATTTGATTGACTCTACGATTATGTTTTATCATCTACAGACTGAGCAGTGGCTTGAGATCATACAGAGATTGTGTATCCATGACAACCCTGAAATTCAGCACAGAGGTCTTGTGACGGTGTTTAATATGCTGGACGCTGATGAACAACTAGCCAAGAAGCTCATTGAATGTGAATTGCTGGAGATCCTGACATTTGTGGCAAAACTAGAGGACAACCCCAAGAAGCAGGACGCTATTAATGCTGCTCGCGCCTGCCTGTCCAGAGCCTTGGATGGTGGACTTATCAAACCGTTTTCAAATTAAACAGTTCATTGTGATGTGTCATTAGGCGAGTACAGAATGGTCTGCTTTCTGGGAAAGTGGAAAGACTGCAAACCATTTGCAAGGTTTTATTTTTTAAATTTCTACCGCTGAGCATAGTTCTTTTTGTTAGATTAAATGTTTGTGTGGCTGTTTGTTTGATCAGTAGAATTTGGTATTTATTTAACATGCTCATTTCATATTTCATGTATTTGCACTTGTGAAGTTTTGATTCACAGATTAAAATCTTTTTTTGAAGAAAAGATGAAGCGAATCCATTTCTTCATATTGATATGATTAAAATCACCCTTTTGAGTGTATTTGTGCAAGTAAACCATAAATAAACACACACATTTACATTGGAACAGTTTATTGAATCTTATAACATGTTAAAAATATGAAACGACTCAATTTTACGCCCAAAATGAGCAAAAAAGTGTAATTTAGAATTTAATTAATTAATTAAACAATTACACAATACAACAAACAATTTAATAAATTTTTGTCATTTAATTTATATTTATATGGCCAAAAAGTAAGATGAAATTTTGATATCGTGTAATGTAAATCAATGCGATTTGTAAAACAGTACAGACTACTTACATAAAATGCATATAAATATCAGTGATCATTCTATACCCTTACGATAAAGAAGTTTATTCAAGTGTGCTATTAGTATACTTCTTTTAAACTAAAGATAGGAAAGTATACTTTTAGTCTACTTTTGATGTACTTCTCAGAAATATACTTAAAATGACATTTAAGTATACTTGACTTATACTTAGAAAAAGTCTAAATATATTTTAGCTATACTTGTGCTCCTAGAATCCGTGTTTTTTGAGGTAAACTAGTTGTGTACTCAAAGTTTACTACTGTTATACTTAAAGTATACTTAAAAGTATACTTTTATATACTAGAAAGTGGGCCAATTTAGTCCCAAGGAGTATTGAAATAGTACACTTACAAGTATACTACTAGTACAATGATATTTGTATACTTACTACATAAAGTATACTTAAACTTTACTTAAGTATACTTACTAAAACAAACTTGAAGTATACTACTTTTTGGTAAGGGTATCTCTGAATAATATAAATCATATTTAAATGCTTAGTTTTATGATCAAATCTTTGTAGTTTTCATTATGAGAGCAAACATATAATCCAATGACTGTGAGATGTACAAATGAACGTTCCTTAAAAGCCTGTTGTATCATATTTGATACTTACATTTTAACATGATTGTTCTAAAAAACAATTATGCATGTAAAGTTGCTCCAGCATAGTAATGATATTTATGATTTATTTACATATACGTTTTTTATTATCCTGTATTGATATATCAAATTCTACTTTCAAATGATTCACATTCAGCATTTGAAACATGTACTGCTGTATTGTCTGCATTCCTTTAAAACTAGGATTACATATTTTCCATATGCATTACACCTATTTTGGTTTTGCCGACCAGAGATTAACAGGCAAAGCAGGACAAAAACAGCTTTGTTTTGCTCAAATTCACTCAGTGTTGCCAACTTAGCAATTGTGTTGCTACATTTAGCAACTTTTCAGACTACCCTAGCAACTTTTTCTTCCAAAAGCACCTAGCAACAAATTTAACAATTTTTAAAAAATTGATTTGGCAACTTTTGATAAGTGACTCAGGCAATAAAAAGGCAGATATTTTCCATCCAAATGACACAAAAAGAGGAAACCACTGATGCCTAGCAGCACACACATCACGTGAATTTGCAATTGTTCAATTTAATAATAATAATAATAATAATAATAGAATATGATGATTATTTAATTATTGATCATTTATGTAAGGATAAAAGAAACTAGAATACTTTGATCTCCTGAGAGACAAACAATGCACTGGCATCTTCAGGACACCCCACAGAGGGGTGGTGCAGGAAACACCTCTCTCACTACTGTAAGAAAAATTGAAAATCTTTCAGGACATTATCCATTATCCATTATCCATCATCCATTGTAACCCTGTAACTCGAAAACACAATGCGTAATTTAAAATACAGGAAAAAAACCATTAAAGAAAATTCTTTCATATTGACATAGTAGATTGTGCCTTATTTTTTACAGACTTTTCTTAGAGTGTAGCATACCAACTAACTACTAATACACTGCTTAAAGCATATTAGTTGAGAATGTGTAGAATTACTAGTTTACTAGCTATTAAAAAAAAAACTTAAATTGAAATCATTCAAAAATGTGTACGTTTTCAATGTATTTAAAAATACAGTTATTTATATTTTAATATTATATCATGCATATTATTTTACAAACAAATCTAAATTAACATATATATAAAAAAAATTTTTTTTGCTGAGATTTGATGATGTGACAATTTTGCGTCGTGATTACGCAATGACGTCACAACGTCATTTAGCAACAAATCGACCATCCTTTAGCAACTTCACTCAGTGAACATTTCGTCCAGGACTGAATGTTCTTTTAGGCGTTCAGGAATGTAGAAAACTGAATAGCTCTACCTAGAGGCCGGAAGAGTAAATTAGGCTTTTTCAGAGCAACGACGGATAATTGTTAAACGTAAGCTACTGGTGTCTACCCTTTTTATCGATATATAACCATATACAACTTCCCTTTGAATGACTAAATCGACATTCAGAGATAAATAAGCGTATCATTTGCCACGAAACGGCGTCGTTTCAATATGCCTGGGCAGCGCCTACTAGCGACGGCAAACGGAACTGCGTGCAGGACGCAAAATGGACGCAAACTTCTAACTTTCTGTTTCTTTTTCGTTTCGCTTTTGCTACTCTCTTCCAGATAGCGCGGCGTCCCTCGTGTAGACCAGCACGCGCTGTCGAAAGAATTCGAATCCCGGTCAGAATTCGAATTCCGTTCAGACCGAATCGCTGGCAGCCGTTCGTTTTCACAGCCCAACCTTTGCTGTCTTTATGTGGATTCGCTTCCTGGTTGCAACACACAGTCACACATTACAATTCAAGTCCTTCAAAACGCAGTTCAGCTTGAGAGACCAATCGTCGAGCATAAAAAATGCCCTTACAGCTTTAAATAAACATTTCATTACTATTTTACGGGAAAGGCAGCATCTTTTTATTCGTTTAAGTGGAATGTGGTGAGCCGTCGAAGATTAGAAATATCTAATATCTCGAGTGCAAAGCGAAATCCTGGGATCTATGCCTCGTCTTCATGGAGAATGAGACTAACTCGATCAACAGAAGGTGACTGGGGTTAGATGCCTCGCTGACACGTTTAGTTTCTGTTTTGACTTCAATAGCGTTTGTATAATGCGTTTTGTTTTGAAATATCTATCTATCTATATATATATATATTCAGAAATTAAATTCACAGTATTTGATGTGCTCTTTTTGTTTGTGTTGACAGCTAACGAAACTGTTAATAAGGTCATGGGTATTTCAATGTAATCACACTATTGCAGCTTTGTGTACAATTATAAACGACTAGCCTATTTTGGTTGAAAGAATTCACGAGTACTGGTTTGGTTGGTTGCTCTTCACTCTAAACCAGTTCAACACTTTTGAGTCAGCATGGTGCTGGTAAATCTACACGTGCTAGTCTTACCTTTGCTCCAAGCTTTTGAATTAATTTGAATAAGGGTTGATTACAGTCACGTTTATACTCCTGTACAATGTCCTCCCTTGTAGCTCCATCAGTGGTTTCTAGATCTTTCTGCATAATCTATAATATTATTAGTCATTATTCTCAGTGCTTTGAGATTTCTAAATGTAAATTATGGTCAGTATGGTTTGCAATTTGTCAGTAATGTTGATGTATTTACAGTTGTGTTATATATTACGTGTATAAATGTTGAGTTTTTAAGATTAAGTCACAATTGACATTGCAGTATCAATTTTATTATTTCTTTATTATTATATTATAAATGTGGTAACTTTTTTCGCTGGTCTAAGATGATCATTAGCTGATTCTAGCTTGGTTGACAGATGTTTCAAAAACCAGCTTGACCACCTTAAACTGGTATGACCAGCTGATAGCTGGCTTGTTGGTGGTCTAAGATGATCTGCCCACTAGTACCAGCTGAAACCAGCTAGAAAAGTTGGAAGTTCGAACTCCACCATGTGCAGAAGACAATAGGCTGTATCTCATATTTCTGTATAGTTGGATCGGTTAATGATGAACAAAGTTATTTTTTAATATTTGACATTATGGTTATATTATATCCTACATTTGGTTAGTGATTAGTGTGGAAACACTAACATGAGTGTTGCACAATACTTCACATAAAGAACAATGTGGGTTTTTTTCAGCATAAGAATTGCGCAATTATGCTTTCTTTAATGCACAATACTTTTTTTGTTTCTTTTAAAGGAGTTGTGTAGCCAGTTCATGAAACTGTTGGTTCTCTTACCGACCAAGTTGTTCACAAATTGGCTCTCTACCAGAGTTTATTGCTTTTACCAACCATTTATTTCAAAATGTCCTTGAGATGACTTTTACAACATGCTCTCTGGTTACAATTCCAGAGTGACAGAAAGTGACCTAGAAAAGTAAAACCATCCATTTAGTTTGTTATTGGAAAGAAGGAATGTTTTGGAAGATTGTGAAGCAGTTAGTATAACTCAAACATGTCTTTCCAGGTCTTCTGGAGCCTGTGCATCCAGGCTCAGCAACCTTTAATGAGAGTATTCTAGCTCCACTTCGTAACAACTATTTGTATGAGGAATCAGAAGAATGTTTCACGTACAACTCTGCCCATTTGATCAACAATGGCTCTTTACAAAAACGGGTTAGTTTTATCTAAATGTTCTCCATACTGCACTTAATTTTGAGTGATTAGTGAGATTTGTGTCATGTTATAATAAATGTCTTCTTCCAACAGTATGCTGCCTTTTGTTCCGAAAAACGGGAAAAAGGATATTCTGAACAGGAACTTGAAGAGTCATTTGGATTCCTGTTGCTTGATGATGCAAACAGGGTATAGTAATACAACACTAATGGAGTTTACTGAATCAGCCTGATTTCAAAACTGTTCTTTCTGAAACTTCAAACCCATTACAGCATCATTTGTTTCCCAACAGGCAAGGAAAATTGGCGAAACAGGCTTGTTAGTTGGACAACCAAAATGCACTACTCTTGGAGACTCGTTGAAAGGTAAAGAAAGCTAGCCATTGCATTATTTGGTGATCATTTTAGCATAACAGCCTGATGTGTTTACTTGCACGCACAAGATAATATTTCACATGTGCCTTCATACTTGTCTGACAGGACTTGTACTGTTTGTCAGCGACGGTTACTGGCATGAATCGCAGCTTTGTTTCTTTTTATATTTAGTGTAACAGAATTGCAATTTAGTTGTATTGCAGCTGAGTAAATCTGCCTCAAACCATCTAAATAAATAGCATATGCTAACAAAAATACTATTTAACGGATTACTAAAATAATGACTTTTATAATAATAGTGTTCACAGGGTTGGTCAGGAGAACTGCATATTTCCAAGTCCATCATGGTTATGAAAAGGAAAAGTGAAAGGATGCTACGTAAGAGATGCATTTAATCTAGAAAGAGAAAGTGAAGGTCTTCCTTTACACTGGTCTTCTCACTAGTGTATGAGATCAAATAGCCTAGATGCAGAAGTATTTATTGCAGTCTAAATTAAGGGTTCAATGCCTCTCTCAAATTTGCTAGAGACTACAAGGCTGTTATAAACTTCTGGTGGAAGACTATCATATTGTGGAGAAATGAGACCCATTTCAAGCAAAGGAATCTCAAATCACTAGACACATGGTGGGACCATCATGGCTTGAGGATGAGCAGATAATTAAGTAGTTTCTAATGAATTTTGTATCTTACAAATAGATTTAAGAGGAACGTCTGGGTGTTTGGTGGACAATAAAATCTGAATATGGGACATGCAGCACTACTACTACTAATAAACAATCTCATAATGAAAAAATACAATTTGATTACTTAAAGCAGGTTTGTGAAAGGGCCATTTGTTTAACCATATGGTCAAATTCAGCACATATTCTTCATATTAAAATTCTTTCAGGCCTTCACATGATAATGGGTTTCCATATTTCATTTCATTACTGGTTTTAAGTATGATGTAACTGGTAAATTATGCTTAGTTTATGTGGTTTGAGCCACTTCTGTTTCCTGTGAGGGGAAAGACTTGATATACACGCACCTTCGTGAGTCTAAAACCAAAGTCTCTCTTTACAAAGGTTGCGCAACCAAATAAGAGTAAACTTCATGTGATATTGACTGTAAGTTGCTATCATATCGATGTTCTCGTCTGAAAATATTTTCAAACGCAGTGAATAATCTGAAGGAGAATAAGATCAAGTTTGTATTTCAAAGTGTGAAATACTTTTTAGTTTTGTTTTAAGAATTTTGTGAACTAGAAATGTTGGTGCATTGTTAAGGTTTGTTTAGTCTCAACTCTAAAATATCACTGACAGCGCACACAGTCTGTTCTCTGACCATATGATGTAAACCAAAGTGTCAAGAACTGGGCGTAAGGGCATACACATGTTTTTTTTTTGTCAATCAGCCTGGAAAAGATACTACAGTATTTGTTAAAGACGTCTTAGCTGGAATTGCTGTAGCTTTCCTAAAGTAGTTTCAATAAATCTTTGAAAAATATTTTTTGCCTGAGCCATTTAAGTAGCACGTTATCTAGCTATTAGTTAGTAGAACTGTATATTCTACTTTGTTTTCTAAATTACAGTATATTATATGAATTATTATTGACTGCAATTTGGACCAGATTTTATGTTTTTTATTAAAAGCCTGGCAATGCGAGACTAGGACTTGTTGGCTTAATAATTACTAGGACTAAAGATTAAACTTGTTGGCTGCAGTTTAACATGTCAGGGCAAACAGACAGAACTACAGTGTATTATCAAAATTCCTAAATGTATATTTGTTTATATCTGATTATAAAAATTATACTTGGAAAACACCTTTAAATTAATAGTGTTATATTTTTTCCATGTTTTTAAATTAGAGTTTCATTTGCAATGCTTCATGGGATTGTGAACATTTGTAAAGAATTGTAAAAATAATAAAAATACGTTTCTTTTTTTCTAGATGCAAAGTCGGGTAAGGCAGCAGCACTTCAAGGCATGTTTATTTTCCCAGACTCAAGAACTGTGCCAAGAGGTAACAAGGAGAATCATTTGATTTATTATATTTTTACATCTGTGTACTTTATGCAGCTTTTATTTGCAAGTCTTTCGCATCTTACGAACATATGTTTTGTATGGTTTTATGTTTAGAAGCCAAATCTGACCTGCAAAATTCTAAGGTATCAACAGAAATAATGCAAGTAATCCCAGCACTCAACTATGCAGAAATGGAGATGGAAAAATGTCCTCCAAACCAGCAGGGGCGCTCTCTGATGTCTTTAGAGAAGCATTTGCAAGACTATGGGACTCTTTTTCACCCAGGGCTATTGGACGTTCCCACCAGGGAAGCCAGTATGTTTCCAGATCAGTATGATGTGCCTGGTGGTTTTACCCTAATATCGCCTAAATGGTCACAGGAGGCTGGTACTCAATTAAAATCCTATTTTGATGAGCCTTGTGGCTTTACGATTCCAGTAGGGAGGGCGTTGGAGTTACTCACTGCTGGTCGACAGCAGCGTGGTGATGATCACGATGATGATGTCTATTACTGCATATCATCACCTGAGGAGGTGCCACAGACTGATGCCCTTATTGAAATGGAGGTGACCAAGCAATCTGAGGCCATTAGTGATGCCTCTGACAAGACAGCTGAAACAGTTGAGAGACAAAAAGATAAGCAAAAGCATTTGTCCACAGAGCAGCCTCAACCTGCTTTGCCAGAGGGGCTTGGAAATCTGGGAACAGCTGTAGTTACAGTAGCTGACAGTGTGTTGGAATATCCAACTTCCACAGTGTCACCCAAATTGGATGATGTCCCTGCAGAGAATTGTGTAAGTATTGAGACTGATGTTGAGAAAAAGTCTCAAGGTAGTACTAAAGGAGATGCTGATGGAGTCAGTGTAGATTTATCTACACAAGAGACTCCCATCCAAGCTAGCAGTACACCATTAATCAAATCAGCAGAAGAAGGTGCTACTGCTGTAAGTGGGGGGATGGAGGATAATACACATCCTGAGAAAACAATGCCTGATCCTGATAAGAAAGTAAATCGGAGGTCTTTTTCAAGGCATAGAGGTAGGAAGCGCAGAACTCATTGGAAAACCATGCAGATTAAAAAAGTTCAAAAAAAGATTGCTTTACTAGCTTCAAGTTTGCCTGTCGTTTTGCCAGTGAATTCTCCCGATGACCCTACGAAAGACCAGATTAAGACTGAAACCGTGCATGCTGATGACATCAGTCAAAGACCCCATTCAACTCGTAGGGGCAAGGGATGCAGGCGAAATTTGAGTGAAGCCAGACAAACACAAGACCCTTTATTATGTGTGACAACTAAAACTATAGATGATCAAAGTATAAAAAATGAGACGAGTCCTTCAAAAAGAGAATGGCGGTCTCTTCCAAGGCGTAAAAGATTGTGGAATGTAGATGCCAATCTGAAACGTTCTTTGAGATCAGATGCTGTAAAGAACCATGAGGAAACTACAATGAATGTACAGCACAATGAAACAAAACAATGTTTGTCTAGCTCGCACAAGAGGAAGATGGAGGGATGTAGTTTGAGGGAACGATATGGTTTAAAGACCATAATCACAAACTGTGGTAGAGTCTTTGTTCCGCATGGTTCAGATGTTTACGTAGAGTCTGCAAAAAAGGAGAAAATGCATGTTGAGATGAGCATTGACACAAATGCAGAAATTATTTCTCCTGTGGAGAACAAATCCAAAGAAATAGTGGAAAGTAAGGGAGAATCTCCCTCGATGGGTAAAGAAGAACTGTCCTCAAAAGATCCACTGGTCAATGACAATAAAGACTCAGACAGCCCTTCAAAAGACATGCCAAGTGCGCTCTTGTCAGCATTAAGAATATTGAGAAAACTTAACAAAACCCATTCATTAGAAAGTGACAAAAGTCAGGATTTATGTCCAGAAAAGTCCATGAATGTGACATCAAACATGGCTGTAGGTGTCCAACAAAATAACAAAGATCATCCTGTTGCTGTTCAAGCAGATGCAACTTCCAGTATTCCCGGAGTTTCTGACCAGTCCACTCATTCGGACCAAAAAGTATCATCTCCTGACAAAATCAAAAAGAAAGCAAAACATGATGTGTACAGTGCAATATCTATAAGCAAATTAAAGACGGTGCTCAGAAGGGGAAAGAGGATGAAATCTCCTTCCCCTGGAGGCAGTGCAAAATCTGAACCAGATAACACAGAGCCAGAGTCGAAAAAAGGAAAGCTGGGTGCCATCATGGATCTGAAGTGTGATACTCCCAAAACTGAGTTGAAAGACAAAGGATTACAACCCATAAATGATGAGGCACTGCATACGCCAATGAAAAGTGTGGAGTTAACAAAACAACCTGTGTCTTGGAGAGGTCTTATTCACAAGGCATCAAACGAAAATGGTAAGAAAATTATTAGTTTACACGTTCCGTCATTAAAAACATTTTCACATACCAAGAGTGGGAAAGTGTCCAGAAAGTCCAGTTTCAAACCTCAATCCTTTGTGATTACGTTTCATTCTCTGTAGTAGTCACTAAATTAGACTGGCTTGATATTAAGGCATGATTATGCTGGTGTATTAAAATTGGCCCCACGTTTTCCTTGTCTTCAGTGTGCATGTTCTTCTGCTTCTTAAGGCCACTGTCATACTCTACTTCCTCTTATTCTTTTGTATGTCTGCATGATTATGCACTTTGCTACTGCTATTTTATGCTTTGTCTTTGTTTTTGTCTATTTCTTACAGGGTCCCTCAATTTTGACACATCAGCACCTTTTGAAATAGCAAAGCACACTGACCAGCAGCTCATATCTTCGCTTATTGGGGATAGGGTGGGAAGAAGAAGAATTAGCACTGATGGCAAAGCCAGTGCAGAGAGACTGAGCACGGGTGCATCTCTGCCCCCAGATGCTTTGAGTTTACTGATCCAGTTTCAAACCTCAATCCTTTGTGATTACGTTTCATTCTCTGTAGTAGTCACTAAATTAGACTGGCTTGATATTAAGGCATGATTATGCTGTGTATTAAAATTGGCCCCACGTTTTCCTTGTCTTCAGTGTGCATGTTCTTCTGCTTCTTAAGGCCACTGTCATACTCTACTTCCTCTTATTCTTTTGTATGTCTGCATGATTATGCACTTTGCTACTGCTATTTTATGCTTTGTCTTTGTTTTTGTCTATTTCTTACAGGGTCCCTCAATTTTGACACATCAGCACCTTTTGAAATAGCAAAGCACACTGACCAGCAGCTCATATCTTCGCTTATTGGGGATAGGGTGGGAAGAAGAAGAATTAGCACTGATGGCAAAGCCAGTGCAGAGAGACTGAGCACGGGTGCATCTCTGCCCCCAGATGCTTTGAGTTTACTGGCTGACTTGGCTCTTGGTGCAAGTAATGATAAAATGTTAATGAACTTAGAAGCCAAGGCTGGCCAGGAGGCCCTTGATGGAGTGAATGCTAGCGGCTCCCCGGAGTCACTCCTTAATGCCCTTCTTCGTTATCCATCAGCCAGATTTAATTTACCCCCCCGGTCTCCTTTCCCAGAAGGTCTTTTAGTGACTGGGGAACTGATTTTGGAAATATCAAAAGAGCATTCTTACTCACAGACCACCTCTCCGCTGTCAGGTTTGTCAGGTCCATCCCCCAAGGTTTCTTTTTCATCTGGAAGTGTAGAATCACCTCTGTCATTGAAAACTGGGCTTCATCTGAACCTACCCAAAGATGCTGTGGCCTCTTGTCATCAAGAGGAAGGGGGCAAAGCAGAATGGAAGCATTTGATTACTCCAAATAAACCATTGTCGGAGATCCTAAAGACGAAACCGCGGAGATCCAGAATTTTACGCAACAGAAGCATAATCGAAAAGGAGGGAATGATTCAAGTGACGAGGATTTGGAAAGAGCCATATGATTTTAAATTTGACAGCAAGTTAACCAATGAAAGTAAAGACAAAGCTGTCACACGAGCACTTCATGGGTAAGTAGTGCTTGTTGCTCCTAAATCTCGATTAAGGTTTAATTATGATTATTGTGGTGAATCTTTAATATTGTTTTTATGTTGATTTGTGGCCAACAAGCTATTCACACAAGACAAAAATCAAAACATTATGGCTTTTATTTACTTATTTTTCTGATTAGTGACAGAATAGTGACAATTTAAAGGAATAATTCACCCAAAACTAAAAATTCAAAACTCAAAAATAAGGATTTTATTTGTCTGCTGGTACACGCCATTTCCATTTTTTTTAGTTGCCTTTCCAATATTAAAAAATTTAATAATTTTTTTAATTAAAAGGTATTAATTAATTTTTATTTTCCATATATATTTCTTATTATTTTTATTCTTAATATTTTAGAATAACTAATAACTAACTAACTAATAGAATATAATTTTTATTCTATTATCGTGTTATTTTTTACATAAACTTTTACGCATTTTACTAATTGGGCTTTTCCTAAACTATTGTCAAACTGAAATGAAAGCGAGTAAAATATGTTGAAATATGATATGCATTCATATAGGCAACTTACATATAGGCTAAATGTCGTAAGAAACGAGGATGTAAATATTTTGCTATCATATAAAAAAATATTAAATATAATACGATATAGATATAAAGTAATGTGAATGTTTACACTGCAGCATGACGAATGTTACAGTCTAATGTTTAGATCAGTATTTGATCTACTATCAGTTGTCGATGTTTATAATGTGCTAAGCAATAAGAATTTAGTTTATAAAATATCAGAATGTTGTTTATGAACTTTGTGTTAATACAGACAAAGCGTATGTGCATGAATGACGGTACAAAATCGTGTTGTTTTTTTATTAGGAGTGGACAAAATTAGTATTAGTAACTGCTAATGTTGTATACATGTACCGTACGTCAGTGTGAATGAAATATGATACTAATTGCTTTGAAAAGTTTAATGCTTACAGCTTGATACGTGTAGGCCTACCCCTGGTTTCACAGAGAACACAGAGGACACAGGCTTAAGCCTAGTTCCAGACTAAAATACATTTCTGAGCTGTTTTAACTGAAAGAAACTTGCACTGACATACCTTAAAATATGTCAGTTCCATTGTTTTATCTCAAGATGCACCAGTAATGTTTTCTTCTGGCACATTTATAAAAGTTAATGTAATTAGTAATTAATTACTTTTTTTAAAGTAACTTACCCAACACTGTATGTAACACTGATGACATGATGCAAACAATTACTGATTGGTTTGTATTTTTAACAAATATTCTTATTGATTCTATCAAGACTATTGCAAGTCTTTACAATTACAATTTCTCTTTTGCAAGATATAAAAATGCCACATACTTAAAATATGCCAAAGATGCGGTTTGCAACAGTAACAGTTTTAACATCGTTTACCAGCTTTTGTGGTAATCTTTTGAGTAATCATAACCCATAAATAGACATTCCAAAAAGGCTCTGAATTTCTTTTTCCTTCTTTCTTAATGTTGACAGGAAATGGAACTTCGACATTGAAGACACCTATGAGGATGTCCATCTCATTTTTCACATGTGGATTGGTCTTTTCTATAGTAAACCCACCTCCAGGTTATTTCATCTTGAAAACAGTACCGCACTTCCAAAGGAGAAGGAGGTTGAAATTGTTAATTTGGACATAAACGCTATTCAGAATGCCGTGTCATTGCTCAGTGTTGATTTGAGCCAGAAAGCGGACTCGGCCAAGCCTGTGCATGTTTCATCAGAGGTTTTGGATCTTTCTGTGAAAAATGATGAGCCTGTGAATCTGCATTCAGTCTCAAATCAGTGCAAAAGCAAAGACACTGCATCACAATTTGGTGAAATGTCATCTCATAAAAATATTCTTATTGATTCTATCAAGACTATTTCAAGTCTTTACAATTACAATTTCTCTCATTTAGAGAATGTCTTGAGTTTGCAAGATATAAAAATGCCACATACTTAAAATATGCCAAAGATGCGGTTTGCAACAGTAACAGTTTTAACATCGTTTACCAGCTTTTGTGGTAATCTTTTGAGTAATCATAACCCATAAATAGACATTCCAAAAAGGCTCTGAATTTCTTTTTCCTTCTTTCTTAATGTTGACAGGAAATGGAACTTCGACATTGAAGACACCTATGAGGATGTCCATCTCATTTTTCACATGTGGATTGGTCTTTTCTATAGTAAACCCACCTCCAGGTTATTTCATCTTGAAAACAGTACCGCACTTCCAAAGGAGAAGGAGGTTGAAATTGTTAATTTGGACATAAACGCTATTCAGAATGCCGTGTCATTGCTCAGTGTTGATTTGAGCCAGAAAGCGGACTCGGCCAAGCCTGTGCATGTTTCATCAGAGGTTTTGGATCTTTCTGTGAAAAATGATGAGCCTGTGAATCTGCATTCAGTCTCAAATCAGTGCAAAAGCAAAGACACTGCATCACAATTTGGTGAAATGTCATCTCATAAGCATGAAATGGCACCAAGGCATTCACCTACTGGGACAAGTCTCTCCTCCAGTCCGAAAGTTACAGCATTGATGGTAATAGATTATATCTTACACCATTAACATTGTACAGTATTTAGGTGATGTAAACAATGTATTTCTTTATTTTCCCCTTGATGAGATATTGTATATTTTTATAGAATTTTAAAATGTTCCATGACAACAGAAATCAGTCATTTGTGAACTCTTTAATAATTAATCATTCTAAAATGTCTAGATTGTTTTGTTATTATAAACAAATTCTTATTTTTATAGAATCTTTCATTTTTCTGAGATAACAATTTGTTAGCTTTTAGTCTTTAGTTTCTTGTCATCTTTATACATAAAGTACTGTGCAAAAGTTTTAGGCCATTAGTATTTTCACCAAAAAAAATGGGGGAAAATGATTTTAATCCAGTTATTTCTATCTTTTGCTGTAGTGTATCAGTAGGAAATATGAGTTTACATTTCCAAACATTCCTTTTGCCATTAATTGTAATTGAGATTTTTGTATTCACAAGGAGTCTGACAACAGCCAGTGCTCCACACAGAGATCTGATCTCACCATCATCCAGTCCGTCTGGGATTACAAGAAAAACAAAAAGCTGAGATAGACTAAAACCAGAAGAACTGTGGCAACGTCTCCAAGATACTTGAAGAAGCCTTCCTGCTAAGCTACAGAACTGTGAAAAGTTTTAGGCGCTTGTGTAAAAATGCTGTTAGCTGTGAGGATGCATTCAAAAATAATGTCATGAATAGATTTATTTATCAATTAACTTCTATTTACTAAATCTAATCAACAGTCGGTGTGACCACCCTTTGCATTTAAAACCGTTTTTGTCCTAGGTACACTAGCACAGTTTTTCAGGTAGCTTTGTGGGAAGGTTTCTCAAAGTGTCTTGAAGACATTGCCACAGTTCTTCTGAATTTAGTCTGTATCAGTTTTTTTCTGTTTCTTCATGTAATCCTAGATGGACTGGATGATGGTGAGATAATATCTCTGTGTGGAGCATACTGTTTGTTAATGGCAAAAGGAATGCTTGGAAGGAAGTGAAAACTGATATACTTACAAGACAGAAATAACTGACTTAAAACAAAGACTCTAGAATACCCAAGACGTGTCACTCGTATAGTTTTGAATGGGGGAAAAATGCAAAGCTCAATATGGCCGCTCTATCGAAGGAAGCCCCGCCTTCTGAGTAAAATAGCCAATCGCTCATCGGTAAAGTCATCACGTCACTGCAGCTGTCGTTAGAAGTCCCGGGTGCTATAGAAACAGTCAGCATTCTGGAGACGTGCGCTTAGGATTGCGTATGTGCATTGGCTGGTCTAGCCTGAAAAATAAGCTTTTTTTGATGCTATTTGAGCAAAAGAAACAACATTTATGAGACAGTTGTTGTCAGATTTCATTGGTGATTTCAAATCTGAAATTTAATCATCAGCTTGCCGAACAGTTTTGGAGAATTTAATGTTTCCCCATTCAAAGAGATGGGAGCTACACTTGCGTGCCCAAGAGGCATTTCAAAGATGGCTGCCAGGTGAAATGACTTGCCTTAAAGGGACTTTGCTTAAAACCTTGTGTGTTTGTTTTTTTGGTGAAAATACTAATGACCTAAGACTTTTGCACAGTACTGTTTGTTTTTAAGTATATATTCTTGTACAGCGGATTTAATATTGATTTATTTGCATATTTTAATTTCTCTGTTACAGAATTATAGATCTGCTGTGGATGTACCAATGGAAAGTTCAGTGCCTGACCGTGACAATGGCACTGATGATGAAAATTACATCACCACTGACTGCTCATATTCACAGCTCTTGAAGAAAAACAGTGCGTACAACTATTTGTGTGAGCAAGCATCAAATATGAGAATAGGTGTTCGGATACTTAAACCAAAGGTCAGAAATGTTGCAAATACTAAAGTATCCACCAGCGTGAACACTTCTGGTCCCCCCAAAATTGGTGTTTTCCATCAAATACTTAGTCCCATAAAACCATCAGCATTCTCAAAACCACACCGTCTGGTTTTGGGTAGGAAAAGTTTTGATCTGGGTTTAAAGAATGAAACTGGGCATGTGCCGCATATAAATCTGCAAAAGGAGAATATGCCTGACAGTGCAGGCAGTAAAGAGATTTTTGAAGCAAAGAAAGAAAGAAAGAAAGATGGGTGCCCAGAAGCTGTGGTTGATGAAAATGTTGACAAGACTTTAGAACTTAAAACTGGAGCATCTGTTTTGTTGGAGGAAGAGAGTGTATATGTGGCTGAAGAGAGTAAAGTTCTCTCAAATGAATTTTCTGAGATAACAATTTGTTAGCTTTTAGTCTTTAGTTTCTTGTCATCTTTATACATAAAGTACTGTGCAAAAGTTTTAGGCCATTAGTATTTTCACCAAAAAAAATGGGGGAAAATGATTTTATTCCAGTTATTTCTATCTTTTGCTGTAGTGTATCAGTAGGAAATATGAGTTTACATTTCCAAACATTCCTTTTGCCATTAATTGTAATTGAGATTTTTGTATTCACAAGGAGTCTGACAACAGCCAGTGCTCCACACAGAGATCTGATCTCACCATCATCCAGTCCGTCTGGGATTACAAGAAAAACAGAAAAAGCTGAGATAGACTAAAACCAGAAGAACTGTGGCAACGTCTCCAAGATACTTGAAGAAACCTTCCTGCTAAGCTACAGAACTGTGAAAAGTTTTAGGCGCTTGTGTAAAAATGCTGTTAGCTGTGAGGATGCATTCAAAAATAATGTCATGAATAGATTTATTTATCAATTAACTTCTATTTACTAAATCTAATCAACATTCGGTGTGACCACCCTTTGCATTTAAAACCGTTTTTGTCCTAGGTACACTAGCACAGTTTTTCAGGTAGCTTTGTGGGAAGGTTTCTCAAAGTGTCTTGAAGACATTGCCACAGTTCTTCTGAATTTAGTCTGTATCAGTTTTTTTCTGTTTCTTCATGTAATCCTAGATGGACTGGATGATGGTGAGATAATATCTCTGTGTGGAGCATACTGTTTGTTAATGGCAAAAGGAATGCTTGGAAGGAAGTGAAAACTGATATACTTACAAGACAGAAATAACTGACTTAAAACAAAGACTCTAGAATACCCAAGACGTGTCACTCGTATAGTTTTGAATGGGGGAAAAATGCAAAGCTCAATATGGCCGCTCTATCGAAGGAAGCCCCGCCTTCTGAGTAAAATAGCCAATCGCTCATCGGTAAAGTCATCACGTCACTGCAGCTGTCATTAGAAGTCCCGGGTGCTATAGAAACAGTCAGCATTCTGGAGACGTGCGCTTAGGATTGCGTATGTGCATTGGCTGGTCTAGCCTGAAAAATAAGCTTTTTTTGATGCTATTTGAGCAAAAGAAACAACATTTATGAGACAGTTGTTGTCAGATTTCATTGGTGATTTCAAATCTGAAATTTAATCATCAGCTTGCCGAACAGTTTTGGAGAATTTAATGTTTCCCCATTCAAAGAGATGGGAGCTACACTTGCGTGCCCAAGAGGCATTTCAAAGATGGCTGCCAGGTGAAATGACTTGCCTTAAAGGGACTTTGCTTAAAACCTTGTGTGTTTGTTTTTTTGGTGAAAATACTAATGACCTAAGACTTTTGCACAGTACTGTTTGTTTTTAAGTATATATTCTTGTACAGCGGATTTAATATTGATTTATTTGCATATTTTAATTTCTTTGTTACAGAATTATAGATCTGCTGTGGATGTACCAATGGAAAGTTCAGTGCCTGACCGTGACAATGGCACTGATGATGAAAATTACATCACCACTGACTGCTCATATTCACAGCTCTTGAAGAAAAACAGTGCGTACAACTATTTGTGTGAGCAAGCATCAAATATGAGAATAGGTGTTCGGATACTTAAACCAAAGGTCAGAAATGTTGCAAATACTAAAGTATCCACCAGCGTGAACACTTCTGGTCCCCCCAAAATTGGTGTTTTCCATCAAATACTTAGTCCCATAAAACCATCAGCATTCTCAAAACCACACCGTCTGGTTTTGGGTAGGAAAAGTTTTGATCTGGGTTTAAAGAATGAAACTGGGCATGTGCCGCATATAAATCTGCAAAAGGAGAATATGCCTGACAGTGCAGGCAGTAAAGAGATTTTTGAAGCAAAGAAAGAAAGAAAGAAAGATGGGTGCCCAGAAGCTGTGGTTGATGAAAATGTTGACAAGACTTTAGAACTTAAAACTGGAGCATCTGTTTTGTTGGAGGAAGAGAGTGTATATGTGGCTGAAGAGAGTAAAGTTCTCTCAAATGAAGATAGCCGGCATGGATGTCTGACAATTATGGAAGATGGAAATGTTGAAGAAAACATAACTTCTGAAATGCCTAGCCAAAATCAGACTAGTATTGTAGAGCATAAAGAGACTGCTCATGCAAAGGAAAATCTTAAACCTTTACTAGATCTGAAAGATCATGCAAATGTGGTTGATGAGCTGAGAGATGCTGCATCACATGAGACTAATGTTGAAGAGCATAATGAGATGTCAAATGCAATGGAAGAACCGAAACCTTTACTAGATGACACAAATCTAGTTGACCATGTTAATGAGCTAAGTGATATTTCATCAGATGAGAGGAGAGTTGAAGAGCATAAAGAGACTGCTCATGCAAAGGAAAATCTTAAACCTTTACTAAATCTGAAAGATCATGCAAACATGGTTGATGAGCTGAGAGATGCTGCATCACATGAGACTAATGTTGAAGAGCATAATGAGATGTCAAATGCAATGGAAGAACTGAAACCTTTACTAGATGACACAAATCTAGTTTACCATGTTGATGAGCTAAGTGATATTTCATCAGATGAGAGGAGAGTTGAAGAGCATAATGAGACTTCTAATGCAAATGAACTTAAGCCTGTGCATGATCTAAAAGATGCTTTGTCAGAAGAGACTAACATTGAAGAGTGTAATGAGTTTTCTAATGCAAAAGAAGAGCATGATCTGAAAGATCAATCAAATGCGGTTGATGCATCATCCCATGAGATTGAAGGTAATGACACTAAAGAGCCTGTGGAAGAGAAAGAAGGTCATACAGGTAAGGAAATGATGCAAGAAATTGAGATTAAGTCGCAAAAGGAAGAGGCAAACCTGGATGGCAGTGATACTGAATGCGAGACGTCCACAGCAATGGAGGAACATCTAGATGAGTTTGCTTTGGGTCTGCAGGATGATATAAACAGTGTTAATATGGAATTCAGTGATGAAGATTCTGAAACCAAGGTACAGATGGAAGTTTATGTTCAGAACAGCTCCTCTGACAAATCATCTGCCTTCATCGATGATGACCATGACATGAAGATGCAAAAGAGTGAAAAACAACCTCAGGCACCAGAGGAGGCAAACCTTGAAGATGATGCCCTTAAAGAATTTAGCAAAGATTCATGCCAGGGTGAAGATCAGCTCTTGTCTGTTCAAGAGAAACACACCCCAGCTGCTAATAATGATACTCCTGAAGTAATGCATGATGAGAGTGAAACCAAGACTATTGAGCAGTGTATAGTGGTCCAACAAGAAGCTCTTGACGTTTGTCAGGATGAGTCAAAACCAACAAGTACTGCTGAACCCACCAAAATAGATACGAGTCATTCAGAAAAAGATGATGAAAGAGATTTAGGACCGCAAGATGCATCTGAAGTCATTGGTGAGGATGGCACACTCGTAGACGAGAATGAAACACAAAGTCAAGGTTCTTTTGAAGATCAGGTCATAGAAACATACCAAGAATGCCTGTCCCCCAAAATTTGTGCATCACCCCCCAATACCACGACTGACTCTCGTAATGAAGCAGTTGCTCATCAAGCTTTGACAATCAACAAACGCTCAGAAGTGGAGGTAAACAGTATGTGCTCTACTCCCACTCAAGATGAAATTTCATGTTATCCAGAAGTAAACAGTACCTCGTCTTCTCTGGAAATATTGATCGGGTTCTCAAAGAAATTAAGAGCTCTGCCAGTACCACATCACGTTGTAGGTCCAATCCTGACCTGGCTACATGTCCCATGACTGTTCGGTTTTCAAATCTCAGCGAAGTAGAGAGTTCCGCTGAACTTGGTAAAGCTCAGCCATCACTTTCCGATTTTAAGATTAAAGTGGACATGTCCGACAGGAAAGAGATGAGGAAAAAAGTGAGAAACCGTAAACCTCTCCAAAGACCTTTCTGTGATAAAGGCAATGACGTTAAGTTCTCTGGGATATCAGAAATAACACAGCAATGCGCTGTTGCATACAAGTCCATGATGAATGACGTCTGCAGCGGGAAGACTCTCCCTTGTCCAGCTGAGGCAAGAAAGAGGAAGTTTGATCGAGAGAGTGTTAGGCATTATCCTAGATTCTGTGGGCGCATCAAGAAAAACGTTTTTGACAATCCTCATGACAATCTAAAGTCTACTGTGAGGCAAGCGTCTAAGACTAAGTACAGGTTCTATATCCTTGTCACATCAACAGATACCTTCTTTAAAGAAACCAAGGTAAGAAAGTTAATGCATTAGAAGAATCTTATAAAGTGGTCCAAAACATTGAAAAGATTTTCATGTGAATTTCTTTGTAGAACCTTTTGGAGATTGAGGGCCACATACCGGTTGAGCCAGATGAGTTTGACCTCAATGGTGACGATCAGTCCCCTCTGCTCATTATACTGAGGAATGAGGACATTGCAGAGCACATATGTGAGGTAAGTGAATGAGTGAAGCAGAGCATTTTGTTAAAGCACTAGTGTTAATTCCTCAGTAACAAATGTGTTAAGCTGAAACTGTAAATCATAATTTAATTTGATGATTTTGCCTAGAGACAAAAAGGCAGCTTGAAACATTTGAAGAGTTCATTTGCAAAAACCGATAACTCCATTTTAATTTAGTTTTTTTTTTTATTGCGCATTTCAAGTAATATCAATCAAAATGCAGTTGGGCTGTTTTGATTTAGTAATAATAACTTAAACAAATACAGGTAATTTGCAAAATTAAAGTTAATTGAAAGTATGTTTTTTTTAGCATATTAAAAGTTTGTTTTGTAGCAAAAGCAGATAACTCCAACAGTCGTTTTTTTTGGGAAAAGCAGATAACTCCACATTTCATGTTTTAGAGTTTAAAAAAACACTTGTTTAGTCTTTGTAATGTCCTCAGATGACAATGTAGATGCCTGACAAACGTTGTTGCTATTGTGATCATAAACTGTATGGATGTGATTACACGCAATGCACGGAGCTTTTCCCTCGCCATTGTAACGCGTTGCTTTTGCAAGGTTCCGTGAAAACGTTTCAGCTCTTATTTTCCTTTTTCGCCCTGAAGATGATATCACAGGTTCATCAAATTCGTCAAAATTATCCATCCTCGATCACTTTTAGTCAGCTTTGACGAAACTCCTCTCAGCTAGCACGTCTTTTCAAAGTGAAAGTAGCCTTGTCACCTGACCTGAATACAGAGCGCTGATTTGCTAAAATGGATTTATCGGCTTCTGTTCAAAAACAACAAGGGCGCTTGTCGGCTTCTGCAGTAAAACGTGAACTCGTGATGCCTTGAAAGTGGACAAAACCGGCTTTTTTGACAAAACGTGTTTAGGGTTCAGATCGCGCTATATGTGAAGAATAATGCACGGCAATCTTTTTTTTTTTTAAATGGCGTTTATCGGTTTTTGCAAATGATCTCTTCATTTTATTGGCTCTTTGATTTAAGACATGATTAAAGGCTGTGAATAAAATAGAACTTTAAAATTGACAGAAAATAGGCAAATTATGCTAAGGATGCACTTTAAATGTATTTGTAGATTGGTTGATATTGCATATGATAATGGATATTTAATTGTGCATGCTTATTTCCAATATTTTTACATTTAGATTGCCTTTGCCATTATCGAACAGTAAAAGTTATTCTAAATTAATAATAATAATTTAATAACACTACTTAATATAATCTTTAACAAATCTCAAATATAATATCGCTTAATTCATACTTTACATTATGTTGTGATGCCTTCATTCACTTGTAGCATTTAAAATATATATTTTTAATAGTAAAATTTTTATATTTTAAAATGAACATTTATCAGTTACATATCATTATTATCTAGAATTTTAATATCAATACATTCCTAGAAGAAGAGAAGAAAAGCTATGCTATACTAAATTTAAGCTTTCTCCTAAATGGAGTTTCAGATCTGTTGAGCACATATATCTTTTTTGGGTTGAATTAGCGTGAATTAAATGCCTGTTAATTTTTCGTTTCGTAATTTGGTCAAACAGAAGTAGAGGGGAAAAAAATGTCGTTTCAAAAATAGTTTCTTTGTGAACTACATGTTTAATTGAGGTTGGCTTCTGAATGTTTTTCTATTTAACCAGGTACCTTGTTTGCTGGAATTGAAGTCATCGCCCAGTGTCCTGTTTGCTGGCATCGACCGACCCAATGACATAGTGAACCTCACTCACCAAGAGCTTTTTGCTAAGGGAGGCTTTATAGTATGTGACGAATTGGCTCTCGACACACTTACTCTAGGTACTGATCAAGTTGCTACACAAATTATGCATGTTGTTTTACTGGAGATGGACTGCTACATTATGACATTTTCATTTGACTTGTTTTATCAAATTTATATGAAGACGACATGAAAAAAGTTGTTGGGATCCTGGAAGAGTTAGACAAGCAAGGGAAATGGAAATGGTTTCTGCACTACAGAGACAGTCGCAGACTTCGGGAAAATGCAAGGTATCAAAAATCCTTTCCCACCGCTGGATGTGAGGGCCTTCAAGGACTGTTCCCTGTTGTGTTTATACAAAAGCTACAATTAGTTAGTATTTGCTTACTTAGTTGTTGGCGTAGAGTCTCACTTTCCTCTAATCTCCAGGTCCAGTCCTGAGGGAAGTAGGAAGCAGCAGTTTATTGATTGCTGTCAGAAAGCTGGCAAAGTCGAGGTCTTGCCCTATCATGACTGTGATGTCATGTCACGGAACCGACCCGACTACCTCTTCTGTTTGACTCGACTCCAGATCCAAAATGCCTCTGTTCGCTTTCCTGTGTTTATTACAGGTAAGAGTTTAGATTTTTGTGAAAAGTCCACAGTTGAAGTACTATGAATAACATTTATGAATAACATTTAATTTAAGCATTTAAAAATTACAATAACCCAATATATTTTTTGCAAAACATATCACAATCCATAAAAATTCTTATATTTAAATGTATAAAATATTTTAAAGGGATAGTTCACCCAAAAATGAAAATTCTGTCATTAATTACTCACCCTCATGTCATTTCAAACCCATAAATCCTTCGTTAATCTTCGGAACACAAATTAAGATATTTTTGATGCATTCTGACAGCTCTCTGACCCTCCCATAGACAGCAAGGGTACTACCACGATCAACGTCCAGAAACATTGCAAGGAGATCGGTAAAATAATCGGTAAAATGTTGTTCAGTGTCAGCCGCACCACACAGATACGTTTTCTACATTGTTTGGGCTTTGATTTGAACGAAAACAACGTATCCGTGTGGCGCAAACATACGCTGTTTGCGTTCAGTGGATACCGGCCAAAATTGCGCTAGGGTGAAGCGGAGGAGACGAATTGTTGAATAAAGTCGTAGAATTTTTATTTTTGGGTGAACTAACCCTTTAATTTCACCCGTTTTCTCTGTTTATTACAAGTGAGAGTTTGCATTTTTGTGAAAACTTCACAGGGCCAGTTTACATCAGTGAAAGTACATCAGCCTATTGAATTGAATACTTCAATAATTTAAAATTGATTTAATAAATAAAAAATTACCATAACCCAAAACATCATTAAAATAGGTATATTTAAATGTTTAAATTATATTCATTTTACTCCTTACATAAACATTGAGTATGTGGTGGATCTGTTTGTGATATTTTACTCATACAGTTACTCAAGTGCTTGGAATTCTTTGTCCCAATAATCTTCACACCCACCAGATGAGCAAGCTTTTAATTGTAATTGCACTGCAAAAATGATCAAATCATACAGTTAACCTATATTCTGCTCAGACAAGTCCCTAAAGTTTAAGTCAAGTCTCAAGTCTCTTAGGTGGAGTCCAAGTCAATTTTAAAGTGCCCCTATTATGTTATTTTTTAAAAAGTGACGTGACATATGACCAAGTATGGTGACCCATACTAGGAATTAGTGCTCTGCATTTAACCCATCCTTAGTGCACACACACAGCAGTGAACACACACACCGTGAGCACACACCCGGAGCAGTGAGCAGCCATTTATGCTGCGGCGCCCAGGGAGCAGTTGGGGGTTCGGTGCCTTGCTCAAGGGCACCTCAGTCGTGGTATTGAAGGTGGGAGAGAGCGCTGTACATTCACTCCCCCCACCTACAATCCCTGCCGGTACGAGACTCGAACCCACAACCTTTGGGTTACGAGTCCGACTCTCTAACCATTAGGCCACGACTTCCCAAGGTTCCTAATATTGTTTTGGGAGTCTCCTACAATAGGTCCTACAATGCATGCAAAGTCAACAAAAGCATCACACGTGTACAGTATGTAATAATGCTGGCTTGGTGTGTTTATAAATGAACTGTTGTGATATTTGATACAGCAGCACATATAATGAATGAATGAGAGCATAATCAGACAGACTGATCTTTAGCTCTTGACCACACTGCAAAAAAAATGGCTTATCATACTTAGTATTTTTGTCGTGTTTCTAGTCAAAATATCTAAAAAAAAAAAAAAAAATTCTTAAATCAAGATACTTTTACTAGATTAGCAAAATAACTTAACTTCAGGGGGGGGGGAAACTAAATTAAGTGCATTTTGATCAAAACAAGTAAAATTATCTGCCTGTGGGGTAAGTAAAATATTCTTAAAACAAGAGTATTTTACTTACCCCACTGGCAGATAATTTTACTTGTTTTAAGCAAAATGCGCTTAATTTAGTTCCCCCCCCCCCTTCAAACAAGACTAAATATCTTAAAGGGGTCATATGATGCTTTTTTAAAGATCATTATTTGGTGTAACAGAATATGTTGACATGCTTTAATGTTCAAAAAACACATTATTTTTCAAATACTGTACATTATTGTAGGTCCTCTATGCCCCGCCTCTCTCAAACGCATCGTTTTCTACAAAGTCCCTCCTTCCGACAAGCGCAGTCTGCTCTGATTGGCCAGCTGACCCAGTGCATTGTGATTGGCCGAACACCGCAAGCACTCGTCGGAAATGTAACGCCCCTTACCATATTCGCGAGCTTCATCTTTCAAAATAAATGTAAAGACCGAGCCCGAAAGGGGAACAGAGTCGAATGACAGACACAGTGATGAAGCTGGTATGTGTTTGCAGTACACAAGCCACGGTTAAGACCGCTGACTCCACAGAGACGTAACCCTGTCTCTCTCTCTCTCTCTCTCTCTCTCTCTCACACACACA